CGGGGCCCACTTTATTTAAAGGTGGCAACGCATTTGCAACCCTGCGGGTGTAGCAAATGTCCATGGGCGGTTATTACTTAACATCAGGTGAACCGACAGCTCATTTGCCACTTTTTCACATTTAAAAAAAAATACGCGACATAGGAAGTACCACCGAACGATTTTCGACCTTTCGCAATTGTTTAAATGATTACTTCACTGACGCTCGGTTTCTGAAACAGTGATCATCGTAGATGTTAACTAATCAGCTGTCAAATGGCTTTTCAAATGTCGTTAGAGTTGCCAAAAGGATTTTTAAACTCTTTGAATTGATCATTAAGATCATTCTGGTGAGTGTCATCTGGAGCATGTTGTGGGTCTGATCCCCGCACGGTCAAAGTATTTGTTTCGTCGACAAATAGTTGTTCCTAAACTGGGCATGTTTGTGTTCTTGATTTTATGTAGTAGAACTCTTTGCTAAGTTCAAAGGTGCGTTTGCTAAAAACATCTGCTACAAATGTCGATAACGATAAGGTTAGCTTTCCCGACCCTAAAATTATTATAATATTGTCTCTACGTTGAATTCTCTGAAACTAGTTAAATGTTTCTGTAATATAATTTATACCCTTAATAGAGTTCGTTTGCCGCTATGAGTGTGCACTAGTTATATAGATTTATAAAAACATGCCCTTCACATGGACTATATTACTTATATTTTGCTTTTTAAATGATACAACTACAGTTCAGTACTGTTGTTCTCATTTGTTCATATTTAAGTTTACCTAAGGAAACTAGTAGTCTAGCTAGCGGCTGTCGCGTGAAAAGACACCAAACTCGTCATTCCATTCATAATTTTGAATATTACGTATTATATAAATACAAGAATACTTCTCAAGAATAATTGACTACTTAAACTAAGATAATTACCCACTGTTTGATAGCGACCCGATATGCGTTGATACTCACGACCTTCGTGGACCATTCTCTAGGGTCAATAACCTCGAGGCGGCGCTGGCTAACATGCTAGCCAGTGGCCTCTTGTCTGGCCACTTCTACCACGGCGAAGGCTTACTAGTGAGCCTGTGGCGGGCGACAGGTGTCGCTGGGGTGGGCTACCGAGCCCACGTTAACTGTCCACGCATCCTTTGCGAACAGGGCCTTAGGTTGGGTCATTTCTTAGTCGTAGACTATTCAGAACGGTATACACCCGAATAGTTGAGAGATGGTTTTTGATTAGAGCATAAGATTTACGGCTGGTTTCAATATTCCATCTGCAGATAGATTTTGTCACTAGCGTATATAGCGATAAGTATTTGACATTAACTCCATAATAATTGTACGCCAAAATTATATCTCGAGTAACAGAGCAAATCTATCTGTAGGTAGAATATTGAAGCCGGCCGTTATAGCACAAACCTTTAGCTAGGGTTCTATCCAAAGTATCTAGTATTGTAGCAGTCATAACTGATTTTGATTAACATTGGGTATTGTCTTTGGTTTTACTATATTATAATGTAGTAGTCAAAATAATGTTTGTTGTAGAGCTAGCCATTGGGAATTCCTTTCACGGATTGGCCGAATTTGCTCCATCATTGAGGATAGATATGTTCCGGGGGATTCCAGACTGTTAGCTTTATCATCGGAATTAATGGGTTGATTGGGTGTACACTTTGGTGGGCTGTAATTGACAACCGCGGAATCATGGTCGATGCATTTTGCAAACTAAACTTCATTCGTGCATGCGTTCTTGGCAATAAATGTTTATTGACTCACTCAAGGTCTTAAACCTTTACTTACGAGTTTATTACTAGTTGAAAGACTTAAAGCGATAAATTATCAGCTTGGAAAACGATCCTATTCATAACCAGACATTAGTTTATGTTATAATGTGAATGGAAGTCTTATAAACAAGATATTTTTATATCAATCGTGACTGCTACCATCGCGCTACTGTGATATCTGTACACCAAAGTGGTACTTTAGATTAAGCTGACGTCACACCCGTACACGATACGATGTTAAAGTGATTTGCAGTGTGAGTGATATGCAGGTGGATTCTCAACCTTTAAAAAGTGCTTCACCTTAATCGCTAGGAGAAAGTGAAAGTTTTCCACTTTCTAACAACAAAGCGATTCGCTTCGTCTTTTATCATCACAACTAAGGAATGGAACAACTTGCCGTCATCCGTCTTTCCGTCCGATTACAATGTAGGTGTCTTCAAGGCAAGAGTGAATAGGTTATTGCTGCGCTGTAGTGCGCTAACCATCAGGTGAGACGGCAGTCTAGTACTGGCCAGTTTTTAATTTAAAAAAAAAAAACACCTGCATTGGACGCCTTTCTTCTGTGACGCTGTGATCTTCCCCGAACGATCTACATAATTCTGATCATTCGAGAAATTTGAAAGAATACGCGGTGTGTTATTATATTACATTTTAAGGTGGTAGGGCCACGCAGCAGCCTCGGCTGTTGCACGAATGGGCTGGCCCTTCCGGGTAAGTACTACGACCTCACAGAAGACCAGCGTAAAGTGGAAGTATGACAAATACCTTCGCGTTTCGTCTGGTGAGTGAGGTAGCCGGAGCCCAATTTTCAAAAGGTTGTCAACGCATCTGGAACCCTCGGGGGTAGCGGATGTCCATGGGCGGCGGTATTCACTTAACATCAGGTGAACCATCTGCTCGTTTGGCAACTTTTCACATAAAAAAAAATATGGAAATCGCGACCAAGCGTTAACGTTTTATGTCTTTAACCAGTGAACAGCTGTGTACTTATCTCTATCCCATATCGTGTTGTAAAGTTTATCGGAACTTAACCTTTCCCGTTTTATATTTTAATACAGCGAGCTTTCTAGAAACTCTGTCGATAGAATGCTACAAATGATTACGTTAACAGCTTGAGCTCTGTGCATTAATCTGGAGGTACGATCCTTGTCTGTTTCATGCGGAAAGGCTAGATACGCATTGCATATCCATATCTAGCCTTTTAGCCTTCCATTGCTCTTATTTTCTTACTAGCTGCTGCCCGCGACTACGTCTGCGTAGAATAGGCTGAAGGCGTAACATTCAGACAGAAATAAGTTTCATTAAAATCCATTCAGTAGTATTTTCGTGAAAGGGTAACAAACATCCATCCAGACATACAAAATTTCGCGTTTATGATATTAGTAGATAAGGAAGTAAGGATACTCGTAACGCGTCAGATCGTGGTGGATTGTTACCCGCCACGCACGATAATTTTGTCTTATTTGGTCCGCTACACTTTTATGAAACGTTGCGATTTTAATATTTTTAATATACGCCTACGTTTTTTTTTGATATGGTTGCATTTAAAACGAACCGTGCCCCTCTGTTATGTGAGAATTTTTAAAACTAAAACCAAATAAGTGTATAGAACCCGTCGCGAAAACATCCAATTTCATCGCAAACTATAACATACAAGTTAACTAAATCATTACCGTGTGAACGGTTCATCGTTTATAAACGTGTAAAATAACTAATTGTTCTCCTAATGTGAACATTCCGTTGTTGCATTGTTTGTTCGCCGCGCTCACACGACGAATTTGATAAAAATCACGATCCAGTGGTAACTTTGTCTCGTTTATTCGACTGTTCCACGTCCAGCCGGCCGATGACTTCAAGTGAACTTAAAATTTACCATTATACATATGGCGAGTGCGAGTTGGACTCGCTTACGAAGGGTTCCTTACCATTATCTATAAGAATGGCAAAAAAAATCATGTCTGTTGTATGGGCGCCCCATTTAAATATTTCTTTATTGATTTATGGTATTGTTATAGCGGCAACAGAAATTCATCAAATGTGAAAATTTCAACTAACTATCACGGTTCATGAGATATACAGCCATGACAGTCTGAATGACAGACAGCGGAGTCTTAGTAATAGGGTCCGTTTTACACTTTGGCTACGGAACTCTAGAAACTTGTTTACAAAACCGCTTTTGTACAACAGGAAACGTACGCTACATGTATTTCTCGCATTTTTCCCAAACACACTCCTTCGATTGCAAACTTCTTTCTCCTATTCTTATCTCGCGTTAAGCGGCCACAGAGTCATCAATTAAACCTCAAGTACGACAAGTCTATCATAGCTATACTGTGTATGTATAAAATAGGACCCGATTGTAGTAGTGGGTTAGATCCCCTCTACTGGAAAAATATTGTGTGATGAACGGTAGTTTTCCAGTGTCTGGGTGTTTATATATGTATAATATGTATTTATCTATAAAAGAAAAGTATGTTTAAGTATGTTAATGAGTTGTCTATTACCCATAGTACAAGCGTTGCTTAGTTAGGGACTAGAAAACGTTGTGTAAAATGTGTACTGAAATATTTACAATTTATTATTACTTAATCATTAATACCAGATCTTTACAGTTCTAAGCCTCAAACCCGGATAGCAATTACTACGGGCCCCGCGCTAAAGGGCCGCCTAACTAAAATTGAATCCACTCATCTTTGCCTTAGCCTTAATTACTTAACTTATTAAGTACCTGAAGGTTTTACCCGGTTTTTTTTTGTAAATCATGTATTTTGAAAATAAAAAAAATAAAAAATAAAGAAAATGATCTGGTATAGAAAGAAAAGTAAAAAAAATAAGTGTGTAAATGGTCGTGGTACGAACCGCGACCGTCTGTTTTGGGGCCGCCCGATTACCGACCGAGCTATCATAACATTTTTTTTTTGCGGCGATATTTACCGTCATATTCGAATGATATTTTTTCATTCGCTGAAAACAGGGATAAAGGAACATTTTCTAAGAATTAAACCTAGCTAGATCGATTTTTCGCTCCCGAATCTACGCAGATACAAAATTTCATGAAAATCGCTGGAGCCGTTTCCGATATTTATGTATATATATTTTAATTAACTTCTCCTTAAGAACCCATAGCAGATCAAGGGCAAACAATCCGCCGGCACTGCGACTATTGTAAACATTTATAACATAAAGAGCGCGGCTCCATTGTTCACGAGTCCGCCGCCATTAATGGCCTTCCGTCCGCAGCTTCAACAAGATGCCGCTCCAGCTGACCAAGCCCGCGCCCCAGTTCAAGGCCACCGCCGTGGTCAACGGCGAGTTCAAGGACATCTCGCTCTCCGACTACAAGGGCAAATACGTGGTGCTCTTCTTCTACCCGCTAGACTTGTGAGTACCGCCTATTAGGGTATCACTCTAGTAGGGTATCTTCTTCTATTTTCTCCTACCCGCGTGCGAACTAGGTCGGCGCAACGTGTCGACCGTGTTAACGGGGGGGGGGGGGGGAGGAAAGGGAGTAGTTTACCTGGAAGTGACAACCGCCGCCGATGGACGTTTGCAACCCGTAGCTTCATAAAGTTTTGCATAAAGTAGGCCCCGGCTACCTCACTCACCAGACGAAACGCAGAAGTGAAACACCTCCACTTCACGCCTATTTTATTGTGATAAACATTGAAAATACTCAGTTGTCTGTACACGTCGAGAAGTTATACAGCGTGTCGTTACCATCGCGACAATAAATGAACACACGTGTAACGTTACTTGCCATTAATCATAAAAAAAATATTAACATTAAACAAAATCCATAATTAAAAAAATATACTTTTCAAACAAACTAATTAAGTAAAAAAGAAACAAAATTTGTAACATCCTATACAACTCGCGCCACAGCGTCGCATTTCAAGCCTCTCCTTCTAACAGTATGTTTTACGAATGAACTTTAAGTTACAGTTTTATACGTACGGATGTTCTAAAATTCTTTGTTTTGGAAAATTTTATAACTCTGTAAATATTGATGTTTAAAGAATGTAAATGTTTAAATCAATTTTAAAAAGTTATCCCCTATATGCGTGTTCATTTATTGTCGTGATTGTAGACACGCCGTATAAAACTTGTTGTCTTCGAATACAAAAATTTATTCTGTACTTATTGCAACGACTATTCTATTGAATTATGTGGTGGTATTTAATTATGATAGTAGTGATTCATTATCGTTGAATTATTTACTACGCAACGGGTGAGAATAATTACAGGGCGCATTAAAGTTCCACTCGTGTAGGGTTGCCAAAAGGAAAATTTAAAAGTCCGGAAAAAACTGTCCCGACCTGATTTCCATAGAAAAGTGGTTAAATTTACACTATAAAATTATTTAACAACCCTAAAAAATAGGTGCAAAGCAAACGCGTTAAAACTTTTTCATTTCAAAGATGAATGAAACTTTGGTTTTGATTTTATATTGATTTTTGTAATATTAGAGTATTTGATGTTTATTAGAGTATTGTAATATTAGAGTATTTGATGTTAATTAGGTTGATTTGTGATAATATCCAAAAAATATTATGTTTTTAAAAATACGATGAACATGTTCATCCTATCTTTCTTATAAAAATATCCGCCAGTAATGCTGTCAAAAAATCCTAAAATCTCAGGACAAATCCTGAGATATGGTGACCCCACACGCGTGCTATAAATCGTGTTTATGTTAATGCTGTACACGTCTACACGCCTTAAAACAGGTTAAAATTTATGCGTCGAACCCACTGATCTAATAAATGCTACGGTCAATAAGTCCAATCGAACTTCAACTTGACACAGAGTTGAGCAGACTCTGCTACACGTGTTTGTGTGTATTTTAAAACTGTCTAATTACGCTATTTAATAAAACTGGAATGCAATTTGAATATTTACAATTAAATCGAAATAGATTATTATAGATTATTTGCGATACGCTTTACTATGTCCACAGAACGGATCGACGGCGTTCTGTGCCCGTATACATCCCCTATGATGCCAGTATGCAACCGGTTCGGCAACGTCGCGTGCCATGCACAGAGCGTCATTTCTTGACGCTCCGTCCATGGCACGTGACGGTGTTGGTCGGTGATGGAGCGGTCTAGTGGGAACAGTGTCGTACTTTTCAATACAAATAATACTTATTTGCCTGACACGTTCCTAGCACGGTCATGGTATGATACGGTGTAGTTCGATGACTCCGCGGCGCAGTCGCCAAGGTATCGGCTTCGGCGTCGGGGGTCGTGGGTTCGATTCCCACGCGTGACAACGATTTGTGTGACCCGCGGATAGTCGTTTCGCATCTGCGTGTTTGTCCGCGTGAAATTTATGTTTGTGAAGACGTCCTCACAACGCCGGATAATGTTATACTAAAGTAAGGGCAATGTTTAAAAAAAAAAAAAAAAAAAAAAAACGAGTATATCGTTAATATTACTGAACTATTTTAATGTGACTATACTGAACTATTTAATGTGTCTAGATTACCAGCTTTTTTACCAGCCTAAATACTCATTATTTATTATTATGTTTGTCCGCGTGTAATTTATGTTTGTAAAGGCGTACTCACAACGCAAGATAGTGTCATCCCAGAGTAAGGGGGGGGGGGGCAATGTAAAAAAAAAAGAGAAAAGTGGGAAGGTACCTTTAAGTGAGGCAATCGTTGCAGCACATTCGTGTGCCCGACCGAGATCATCGCGTTCTCCGAGCGCGCGGACGACTTCCGCAAGATCAACTGCGAGGTGATCGCCGCCTCGACCGACTCGCATTTCACGCACCTCGCCTGGATCAACACGCCCAGGAAGCAAGGTGAGGCACGGGTAGAGAGAGAGATAGAGAGAGAGAGATAGATTTAGAGAGAGAATGGCGCACACATCGACCATAAGTGAGATAAGCACTTATAAGGAGAGACAAGGGCGAAGGGAGAGAGATAGAGAGTAGCGCGCGCACGGACCGTATACGAAACGTGCACAACACGTTTACAACTGGACACTTACATTTGCACGCGTATGCATGTGGATGAAGTGAGAATGAATGGGCACATAGACGCCTGCATGTACAGACCAATTATAAACATACGTGTGGACAATTTTATTGTCAAATAATTATTAATAAGATTGTTCCGCTGACTTTATTTTCACCAGTTCTTCTCAGTTAAGTGGCTTTTCTTTTGCGAGTGTAAAAAGTAGGTAGTAGGTGACAATAAGTGAGTGTAATGCTTCTGTTGAATAAATTTATTTGAATTTGGGTACACTACTGCATATGATAGTAAGAGCCGTGTTAGCACAGTGTCCGGGCGCTCGCCTTTAATTCAATATACTCGAGCAACCCGAGTTCGATGCCCGGTGCCGGAACCAATGAAATTGTCTATTTCAAGTGCCGACTTATCACGTGCTCAGCGGTGAAGGAAAAGATCGTGAGGAAATACACACATTACACTGAAAACCAGTGTCGGCATCTGAACAGAATTTTAGTTTCTGTATCTCGACTCATTAAGTCCCGTCCGTTTCACGGTTATGCAAAGACCTTCAATCACCTTCATTTTTTTTATTTTATATGCTGCGTAGTTACATTATTTTTTAATGGATACGTATAAAACGTATCCATTGTGCTTAGACCGTGAATATACGTTTCTTCTTCTTCACTGTCCTGTGGTAATATGCCACTTGGTTGAATGAATATTACTAAATGTTCCTCACCATTAATTGTTTGTAACAAGTACACAATTTATAACTTAATGTTGTAACACCCGCCATTTACGTGTCGTACTAATTTCCGTTCACGATAAGTAATCGAATTCGTGTACGACAGACATGTGCTGTGATAAAGAAATTCTCAGATAATAATTTTGCACTCTAGGTAGAGGCACGCTTCGGCTAAAACTATACAAAAAAAAAACGATTACAATACGTCGCTTGAACAGTTATTTGTTTTTTTTTTAATCACTCGCAGCGATATTGAAATGTATGGTTTTTTGATGCTATGTTGTGATTCGTTTGTTGTATAAGTTGTAAACTGTATGATTTCACTTACGGCATGCCTTAGTTATTGAGCCGTGATAGCTCAGTGCCAGGGCGCTCCGCCTATACTTCAATTTACCCGTGCAACCCGTGGTCGATCCCTGGTGTAACTGCACACACACAAAATTGCATCATTTCGCTTATTTAAGATTTGTTGTTATGGGACCCAGCCCAACTGAAAATTGATATCTTTACTCACGTAAACTACTACTTACTACTTAAAAATTTACATATTATCCTACCTGTTGAGGCATAGCTTGTTCAAGGGACCCAGCCTGCCTGCACACTCACATTTTTGCACTATTGCAAATCAATAACTTATACCTTTATACATCTTTGCCATTACAAGTTTGTTGATGCTGTTCACACAGGGATTACCAGCAGTTCGATTATACTGGTTGTGAATCATGTTGCTATTTAAACTAAGACATTACTAACAGTCTATAAATGTCCCATTACTGGGCAAAGGCCTCTGTACAGAGGCTATCGGGGCATAGTCCACCACGCAGCCCCATTGCAGACTGGCGGACTTTACATATTTTCGAGACGTTGTTATATCAAAAATATGCAGGTTTTCTCACTTTGTTTCGCCTCAACGCCGAACACGTGATAAGTCAGCGCTTAAAATTAACAATTTCATCGGTGCCGGCACCGGGGATCGAACTCGGGTTGCTCGATTAAATTGAGTTAAAGTCGAGCGCCCGGACACTGAGCCATCACGGCTCTTATAAGCAGAACAGAACAATGTGTAAATAGTTGTGGTTGTTTAAAGCGACCCATTAGCGGTTCCCATTAGCCTGGACCCTATGAAGATGTACCGTGATAACCAGAATAGAGCAATATGCTATCATTTAAAGCGACCAATTTGTGGTTTCAGGTGGCCTGGGCCCGATGAACATCCCTTTGCTGAGCGACAAATCGATGCGGGTGGCCCGCGACTATGGAGTCCTGGACGAGGAGAGCGGCGTGCCCTTCCGGGGCCTCTTCATCGTCGACGAGAAGCAGAACCTGCGTCAGATCACAGTCAACGACCTGCCAGTGGGACGGTGAGCTCGTCTTGAAACAACAATGAACAATAAATAAATAAATTTTTAGGACACATTTGTACACAACATTTTCTAGTCCCAAACTAAGCAAAGCTTGTACTATGGGTACTAGAAAACTGATAAACATACTTACAACATACTTTTATTTTGTAAACAAATACATATTATACATATAGAAACACCCAGACACTAGAAAAACACCATGTTCATCACACAATATTTTTCCAGTAGTGCGCATCGAACCCACACCCTCTGGCGCAGGAGGCAGGTACACTACCAACTACGCCATTCGGGTCGTCGAATGGTTCCGTACCGTTACATGGAAACGGCAAAGAAAACCATCCCTCTTCGATATTTCTTTCCCATCTGTTTTTTTAGTATTTTTGTTGTAGCGGCAACTGAAATACATGATCTGTGACAATTTCAACTGTCTCGACTGTATAACTATAACGGCTATTGAGATATAGCTTGGTGACAGACGGTCAAACAGACAGCACCTGTTCTTTGTATTGCTTATTGAAAGAGCCAAAATGTCTCCTCGCGATAAAGGCTTGCCCGGTGACGAGACAACACTTTTACATTTATTCATAAAAATGATCAGCGTTTTTCTTTTTTAGGGTTCCGTACACAAAGGGTAAAACAGTACCCTATTACTGAGACTCCGCTCTCTGTCCGTCCGTCTGTCACGAGCACCAGCCAGTCAATTAAAAAACATTCATTTAAATCCATTTCTCGATTAACAGTTGCACAGTGATATGCATGACTTATTTATCGAAAGATAATTGATAAAACCTTGAAAGACTGATTAACTTCATTTCCAAGAGCTTGATAATTAAGTAATATCTGACTCATTAGTCATCGATATTGGCATGTTTCAAGTAAGAAATAGTTTTTAAAACTATTTCATGAAAGAAATAAAATGAAAAGAAAGAAACGTTTATATGCAGTAATTGAATATATTAAAAGATAAGTAGTTATTGTAAAAGTAAAACGTCCATTTTGTCATAAATATGTTTCACATGTTTATCGATATAAAGAAGCGTGTAGCAAAATGTATGAATAGTTACCGAATAAGGGGGCGTCCATAAATTAGGTGATATGCTTAAGAGGGTGAATGAACCTTATTATTTAGTATGTTTAAATAAATCCAACGTATTCAAGCGCTGTTTAACTATACATTAAAAATACGCATATTGCAAAATCTCACGTGAGATTAAAGAAGGGGATTCATGAAAGATCTCAAGACCTCGCAGAGAGTAGAAGAGGGAGGTCGAAAAATCTTCAAAATACAAATCTCACGTAATTAATGAATGGCCCCTTATCAACCTACAATAGATCTTTTTGGTTTTCGTTGGGACTACTACACAAATCCGCACAAATCAATCGGTAACTAGCAAATTTCTTTCAACTACTAGCATTCATCATCTATATAGCAAGTACCTGAATGAAACAGCTTTGCTCGGTTTATTCTTCTCACAATAGAAGGAAGTTGAAAAAAATGGACACAAAAGAGAAAAATCATCTGGTCTCTAACCGGGCTATTCTGGGTTCGGTTCCGCTCGATTTTCCATTTGAGTTATTATAACCTTGTAGAGGCGGCGAAATTTACCTTCGTGTATTAATGATATCGTATCACTTTTTCATTGCCTGAAAACACTACTAAAAGGACGAAAAATGAAAACTATCGCTTGACTGTATAGCAAAGTAACAAGCAACATTATAATGTAACTGACTCTTGTTTAAGTGACAAATAAACCTTGAATTTGAAAGTTTAATACAGAAAAAAGTGTCAAATGTGTACTAGAAAATATAATTTTAAACATTGAGGCCATCATTGCACTATATTATTGTTTTTTTCCAATGACAAAGCTATTTTGGGATATAGTGCCACCTGGCGGTAAGGACAGCACAGCTTGTTTGACAAATTTTGGTGAAGTAATCTTAATTTTTCAATCGATTTCAAAAACGGAGTGGGTTCTCCATTCGACTGTATTTTTTTTATGTTTGTTACATCAGAACTTTCGATTACTGAGTTGATTTTTTTGATTTTGATTTTTTTTTATTTCAAAAGCTGGTGCTTCCCATGTGGTCCCATATTAATTTCTATTAAACACTAGGTTGGTCGGCCAAAATAAAATAGTGAGGATAGCGTAAACAACTTTATATATTATAGACTACTTCCTACTTATTAGGACAGAGTAACGTCCTATACAAAGGATAAAGTGTTCTACCCTATCACTGAAACATTATGAGCTTTTATACAAAAATGTAATGAGTCATCACAACTACATTACAAATCAATGCACTTATTAAATTACTAATACAGTTAATAAGATCGACCTATTTAATTATAAATTATTATTAAGCATGGTTCATTATATATTATACCAGATATGGTTCAATGTTTATTAAGTATAAATGTTATTGCTCGTATATTAAGCAGTGTTGCCAGTGGATTGTAACATTTCATTGGTATATTAATCTTGGACTTCGGAGATACGTAGGGAATTCCTGCAAATCAATAATAAAATTAATGCAGAGTGAGATATTTGAAGTGGGTTTTGTTTTTCGTTAACAAAAAAAAAAATAGACTTGTTATATTGTTTGTATTAGACAAAATAGTCTCTAAAGAAGCACCTTTTCATTATGTAAACTTTTAAAACCGTGCTCTTATATTCGACCAGCTCCGTGGACGAGACGCTCCGCCTGGTGCAGGCGTTCCAGTACACTGACAAGTACGGAGAGGTGTGCCCTGCTAACTGGCAGCCCGGAGCGAAGACCATCAAGCCGGACACCAAGGCCGCCCAGGAGTACTTCGGGGATGCCAACTAACTGCCCACCCACCACCACCAAGCCGGCTAGATGCTTGCAGTGATTTCACACTATCAATAAAACTTTGAGACATGCATCGCTATTAACAGATTCATTTTAATTTAGAAGACTCTGAAATCTCTAATTAGTGACAATAATTAGTAATTTACTCACTATCACAATATATTATTTGATTCAACTGCCAGCATCTAACCGTCTAGTAACCTCATTCGCTTGGTACTGTTTTCGGTGCCAGTGAACCTTAGTAATCGTTAAAAAGCCAGTAACAATGTTCAATGTCATCGAATATGCACGTAGTTAGGGAATCTCGCTATATCGTTGACTATGCAACCTGATCAACAGAGGATGGCTCGGTTGATGAAAACTGGCATTGTTATCGATATGCCTGGACACTCAGTATTTGTCAGAGATCATATGCGTTGAAGTACGCAACCGAGGCTGTAATAAACTATATGTTTCTATTTGTTTGTTTTATTTGTGTATGGATATGTTTAACAGAGCGGACACAGAGCCGTGATAGCTCTGTAATTTAATTACATTTACTAGAGCAAGTCGAGTTCGATCCCCGGTGCCACCGCAAATGAAATTGTTAATTTTCAGTGCTGAATTATCACGTGCTCGGCGGTGAAGGAAAACATCGTGAGGAAACCTGCATTTATTTTCGAAATAATAATTTAAAAAAAAATGTTTCGAAAATATGTGAAGTCCGCCAATCCGCAGTGGGGCCGCGTGGTGGACTATGCCCAGATACCCTCTTTACAGAGGAGGCCTTTGCCCAGCAGTGGGACATTTATAGGCTGTTCATATCATAAATTTGTACTAATACAATATATATCGTTCAACATATGAGGTAACACAGGCTGGTAGCTATGAATGATAATTAAAAAACAAAATGAACTGTAACAACTGGATTACCTAGTGCACAGCAGACAACAGCTTATAGCAACAACAAAAGCAGTGTTAGTTTTATACTTTCTAGACTTGCGTTTCTACGTTTGGTACTAAAAGTTTTTTTTTTTTTTCATATTTATACCCAACGGTACGTTAGCAGTATGTCAACTTGAGCTAATTAACATTATAGATTGAAATAAAATAAATTCATTAGCCTGGGTTAACTGACTTTAGGTTAAAACTTGTCAGTTACCATTGAACCATGCACGCAGACTAGCGTTTTAAAAGTGGGGATATACTTACCTATGTCATTACTTATAAGTACGAGAGATTATTTATTAATCTTGCTAACATCATCGACCTTAGGCTAGAGTTGGATCAGAATTTGCAGGCGCGATCTTATGCAAAATATGTTGAAAAATCATTGGTCGCGTTCGTGATTTAGAATAAGAAGACCAAGTTTCTCGAATAAAAATAAGTCTAACAGGCAAACGTAAGTTACAGAAATTACTTCTTCAACTTAAAGTAAGAAATTCTCTAATAGTCTTATTATAAGTTCAGTTCTGATTATACATATACGTTGAAATGTCGCGCGTAAACAAAACAAACAACGAACTTCTAGTACCCTTATTTTGTTCACTGTATCCATCAGCCTAATGGCGGTAGCTGCGCTGACTTGCAATCATAAAGATCATCATGAGAATGTAATCACTACGTTTATACGGCAGTAATTGATTGATTGATCATAATGCCATTGACATATTGTTTCAAAATATATGACTGGGGGTTTGATTTCAAGACAATTCCGCTTACACATGGCATAAAAAAATCATTGTATTAGTAAAGTACATTGCAAAAATATGTTACGTAAATATATATTAGTAATAAAACTAAGCAAGAAATTTATGTAAAGACCGCGGCTGTATTGAAAAATAGCGTTCTGACAACCCCATCTTGCAAAACATTAACATACTCACATTGAAATAATAATAAACTTTTTGGTCGATAGATGGTGCTTAAATAAAATGAAACGATTGCTTCGTACAATACCATTGCCACTGATAAGACACTAGGAATAAAATATTTGTCCCTATTTTTCTACTAATATTATAAATGCGAAAGTGTAAATTTATTTGTTCTTGTATAATGAACTAATAAAATTTCGCATAATTTTTTTGCCCGGAACATTTTAAACTTGCCCTACGTTAACTGCAGGAGTTTCATTCAGAAAGTACCTAGTTTTTTTAATATTTCTTCATGCTAGAATAAACAATTTTTTTGTAAATTACGAGTTGTTTTTGTAATTACATTTTCAGCGACCCGCACACGCTGGTATAAGCCAAAAAGCAGGGGTACCATAAATTCTGCATAAATAAAAGTGAAAGATCGATGGAACATTATATAGAAATCTCTGATATTATTAGATGTGTGAATTAAACATTAAAATATAGATGAAACTAAGTAATTAATAAATACATCCTTACTAATATTATAAAGGCGAAAGTTTGTATGTATGGATGGATGTATGTTACTCTTTCACGCAAATATTATTGAATGGATTTTAATGAAACTTTACAATAACATAGGTTATACATCAGAATATGACATAGGCTATAATCTATTTACATATTTTATGTATATCTGTCTTTCTGTCTGAATATTACGCCTTAAGCCTATTCTACGCAGACATTGTTGCGGGCAGCAGCTAGTAATCAATAAAATGTTAAACTTGTATTCATTCTGGAATATACTATCTGTGTTTGGACAAACATAGGCCGACAAGTGGTAAACCTATCGCTGTTCGGTAGTCGCAAATGATCTAGACTTTCTTTTAAAACTCGTGGTAGATTTAGATTAGTCTAAGGTACTACGTAAGGTCCCTGTGACTAAGAACATTAGCAAGTTCTCACAATCTTTTACAGACTCGTTAATCAATCATTATTAACCTCTATTAGTATATCCTTATTATAATAGCTACATTAATAAAGCCAAAAACTAGTTTCTGTCGATCGCAAACCCAATTTAAGAGCGACAGTGAAAATACAGGAGTATTTGCGATAGTTCTTACAAGTTGAAACAATATGTTTGTAGGTATGACAAATAATCAAGTCTCTGTTGTAAAATCGAGTAGTAATAGTAAACATAATATGAGAACCTAATCGACCCTTTATTTATGCAGTACTAAGAATTGAATTTAAGTCATCAAGTCCTTCATTGTTCATGGTAGAGATGGGTCGTATCGCTTTTTCTGAGTACCGAATTAATCAATTTTGCGAAAATATAGATTTCGTTGTACTTTAATATCTAGATATTTTAGCCCGTACAATTGATTTTTTAAAAGTTGATTCATTCCGTTAAGTTTTAAAACTTAACTATTTACAATAGTTAATTATTTATTCGGGTTTAAATTCATTTTTTTTGACTTTAATCGTCGAAAGTTTCGCGATCATTGTACATTAGACATAATTATAGCAACCAGTGATCAAAAAAATACTTCTAAATTTCGAAAACCCACTGACGAAAAAACTGATGAATTTAAAATCACATTTTTTTATACTATTAAGGTAAAATTAAAACATTACCTGATAAAATTAAAAATTTCATTAAAAATAGAAATTGAAAAGTAATATAAAAATGATTTATTTTAACATCTTATATATCGCTTAATAATTGACTTGTTTTAAAACACGCAATCATAGTGACAATATCTTTATATTTTGTGTAAGAAATAAAGCGATGGCGGAAGAATTTAAAATATACACACAAAGCACATAAGCCTTGGTCTGATTTCCACCCAAGCAACACAACACTATTAAATTATATTTTTCTTTTTGTGTACTTTTATTTTTTTCCAAAAATATGAATAAAGTTTAACTAAAAAAAATATTCACAAAAAATTTACCTCCTAAAAAATTTCCATTTATATTTTTCTCCTTAATTTAGGCAGAAATTCTTAAGTAGTAAGTTGGCAAATGTGCTTAGTACCAATGCAATCCAGCTCAAGACTAAACAAAATTTAAAGACATCGTTAATACCGTAATTCGTATTTAAATGCAACAGAGATTTTTTCCATGCTGTTAAGATTCAAAATTACTTAACTGCGCGCTTTGTCGCCCGTTACGGCTCAAGGCTAAACAAAACAATAGAAAGGTATAATAATATCGTTGTAGTAATCTTTGATACCATGATTAGTACTTAATTAAACGGATCTTATTTGCATGGTGTTAAGATTCAAAATTACTTAACTTATTCACAATATCTGATATCGTGCATTGCTACTGCTCTAACTAGTGTAATATTTGTATCTCACGCGCTTTGTCGCTCAAAATCTGTTTAAAAATCTGATATCGTGCATTGCTTGCCGTCCCGCTCTAACTAGTGAGTATTTATATCTCACGCGCTTTGTCGCTCGATATCTGACATCGTGCATTGCTTGCCGTCCCGCTCTAACTAGTGAGTATTTGTATCTCACGCGCTTTGTCTCTCGAAATCTGTTTAAAAATCAGATATTGTGGCAAACGCGTATGATATCGCGATTCATGTTGGTATAGCGAGCGAGCACGGTACATCAGATTTCGGAAATATCAGATATTGTAAAATACATAGATATTGAACGAGCCAGTAAGCGATATTCGGATATTGTACTAATATCTAGTTTTCATATCTGATACGATTTGTATCGCCCACTTCTAGTTCATGGTGTAGGTAAGTGGTTGAGATTAATAATTTTGCTAAATAATTGTTATAAATAGCCGCAACAATTGATTTTTACCCGTTAAGTTTTCAATTATAATAGTTATTAATTCGGGTTGAATTTTTTTTTCATTTCGCTCCTGCAAAATCAAAAAAAATTTACTGACGACAACTGATGCCACAACTTGGTTGTGCGTGGTAGAAAGTTATGTAAAAGACAGTCGTGTACTGCCAACCATAGAGGTGGTAGCGATGGCAAAATTCAGCAGCAGGTATTAATCCGAACAACTACTCAGATCACTCCCCGTGATAGATTAGATAAGAAACGCAAAGAGATGAAACATCTCTTCGCAAGGGTAGATACGATTGGAAAGGACCTGGCCGGCCACAATTCAAGCAGCTCTACGTTGGATGCGGTCGAATCAGCGGTTTGTACGATGCATGCGATGGGACGGCGGGAAATACGGGAAGGTTATTACTTATATAAAGATATATAGATTATAGTCTGGAAAGACAGGGTGGTATTGGCTTTTACCCAATAAAACCCTCTGGAGACTCATAGATTGTGTTGTAAGGATCTGTGTTTATGCGAAATGTCATCTGAGGAGAGGCCTCTTCGATCCCTGTTGCGACAATACGAGAGCTCGTCGTGCTGTGGTCTTTCAAGGATTAACTTTAAGTGACGATTAGGGTAAGGACTATTAGGTTCGACTCCCCGCAAACCCAGTGTCCACTTTATGAACACACCGAAGATCACAGAATGTGAACTTCGGCAGTGAATAAAATGGAATCTGTAGCCTGTTTCCATTCCTTAGGATTTCTATAATTGTGACCAGTCTACATTCCGTTGGCATTACGTTCTAGGCTCACTGTGGCAGGGCCACGCAACAATCTTCGCTGTTGCAGAATGGGTAGGTCTGTCTGTAGATTTGGTTACTGGAGGTAGAATTTTTACGTGAGTACTATGGATGGAGCTAATGTCAAATACCTATAGCTAAATACGTCTTGACACAGGGCACTTTATAATAATGCTAGCATTTACCGCGGCTTCGCTCGCGTTGAAGCCCTTGAATAAATATTTTTTTTACTTTTTTTTATAAATAAAAATAATCCTATGTCCATTTTATAATCGGTTAAGTAGTTTTGGCGTGAAAGCGTAACAAAAACTCTTACATTCGTATTTATAATATTAGAGATGTTAAAAGAAATGCCGGCGTTAGCCGACGCCCATTATTACATTTAAATCCAAATAAACAAACGCAATTGGTCAATACTCGGCTACAAAAAAATTGTTTCCAAGCACACTAGGGATGTTCAATAAGAAAAAGAGTGAATTTTTTCTTCGACGTAGTTCATTATTGTTTTCTTTCTAACATATTCAGCTTGAATAACTCTAGTGAAAAATGAAAAAAAAAACATCAATCATGCAAAATTAAAATAATCTCATTTTCGAACTGGATAAAGTTATCAGAAGAAAATAATGTAAATATAGGTACGAATATAATAAGAATATGAAATATATCGCATCGATAAGTACACTACCTATACCAAAGATTACTACTTACAACTTCAATAATTATTACATATATAAATACTTATTTATTAATAATATAGATACGGGAACTATAGATTTTCTTATTAGTGATTTTGGAGAGTTTCAATTATAAACGAATAAAAATATGTATAGTATACTGATAATCTATGTATTAATACGTGAAGTAAAAACTTTGTACCCCTTTTTTATTAAAATTGTGCGGACGGAGGAATATGAAACTTCTACACTTATAGTTTATGTAGAGAATGATTGCATAATGCTAATATTTTTCTAAATTATACCCAAAAAATACATTAAATCAATATGTATTTCAAATATTTGCGGGGGAAAGCGTTTTAATTTGATATATCGCATTGTAAACATCGACGTGGTGAATCGCCGATATACGTAGTGCATCCCTATCGGCCACCACAAAATCTCAAGTCGCAACATTCGCGCTAGCAGCCTCCGCCAGTCAGTCGTGTTGCTCGATAGAGCTGATATTTACTAATAGAAATGGGACTTAACTACAACTGCAGCGATTATGGCAGCGGCAGCTCTCCCGAGACGGTGAGTCTTGCTCGAATACAACATTTCAACAACGCGAATTTCATTTCATAATTTAAGGGTAACTTTGAAAATGTAAACATTGGAAAGTTTTTGTAGAGATTTGTTTTACGACCACCCGTTAAGCTGTATTTATTTGAACGTAACTAACGGTCGAACTCAGAAATGAGAATAGTGTGCGTCTAAACAAACAAAATTGAATTTCTTATATTTTGTATCAGTCCAAACAAAGTACAGTTGAATGTTATGCTTCACTGCTCTTTGTTAGTTATTAATTATTCTTATAATGATTTACCACATTATTAATTATTTACAAGTAAGAATACGTCACTTTAGAAACCAATGATCGCTTTAGTAAAAAAATCTTTTTAGTTTTCTAGTTCAAAGTCATATTTTTATTCGAAAAAATTGAATATGTAGAAAAATACTTCATAGTTAACAAGATTAACATATTACGTTGTAAATAAACGAATTCAGAATCAATGTTAATTCTTGGGGTGATATTTTAGAATCGAATCAAAACATTGTTTAGCGATAAAGTGTAATTAAAGTTAAACTATTTTATTTAATGCTACCTTCATAAAATTCATCATTTTTGGGTAATTTGAGACAGTTTAAATTGTCTCAACGAAATATTCGTAGCATGTTATAATACCTAAATAGTGTTGAAGGTGACAAGTTTTAAACCGCGTGCGCCAGTAGTGTATTGTAAAGAACAGCTTAGATCAATTCGAACTAGAACAATATTGTTTTAGACCCAGTCCATACAATATAGCTAAAATGCATTAAATGTTTCCAGTAATTTTGGAAGTTAAAATAGAATTGGAAACTTATTCAAATGGGTTAACTTTGAAATTATCTTCCAATTATGAAACGAGTTGTCCTTTGATTATATATATTGAGAAGTATAATCAAAGGAGTTACCTTAATCTCATTTCGGTAATTGTTTACAACAGGTGCACGCCCGTTTATCATATATAAATATTTTAAATCGATAGAAAAACATTACCGAATTAAGGATTATTAAGTAAATAATAAACATTCATGGCAGTCTGTGGGGGAGGCCTTTGTTTAGCAGTGGACTCAAAGAGGCTGAAATGATGATGATGATGAAGTAAATAATAGGGGAAAAAAAGTTTGCAATTTAATACTAAGTAAATCCGCCATTTTGTTTACATCAACACATTAGTACACAGTTTGTTAGTGAGGAGAGTCAAATTTATTAATGAAGTAGTAAATTTTAAACTTAAAAAACCCTATTGTTAACAATTACCTTGTTCGGCGCGCGTGTGAATGAAATGAAATCGCGTTCAAGTGGATTCGAGAACGGTATAGATTCACAATTCGGTCCACTACAAAATGTTAGATTTTTATTTCTCTTTTGTTTATATGTCGTTGTCTGCTTTAATATACAGGTCGTCTGTCGGGTCTGCTAGTACATGACTACATGTATACATCCACGTGTCATAAATACACTCTGTGTTGCACGTTTTCGCATCAGAAATACATCATCGGTGAAAATGTCAACTGTCTAAGTATTACGGTTCATGAGATACCTGCTTGGTAACAGACGGACAGACACAGACAGACAGACAGGCAGACAGCGGAGTCTTAGTAATAGGGTTCCCGTTTTACCCTTTGGTAAAAAGGAAAGAGTTTTTACTCTTCGCCGTGTGTTCGTGTTACTCGTGTTTCGGTCTTAATTAATATAATAATAATAAATTTGATGACTCTGTGGCGCAGTTGCCAAGGTATTGGCTTCAGCGTCGGGGGTCGTGGGTTCGATTCTCACACGGGACAGCTATTTGTGTGACCACAGATAGTTGTTTCGCATCTGGGTGATTGTCCGCGTGAAATTTATGTTTGTAAAACGTCATTACAACACAGGATAATGTTATCCTAAAGTAAGGGCAAAGTTTAAAAAAAAAACAAAAAAAAAAACAAATAGCCGATGGAACTTTTTCCGCCAGTCAAGGGTTAATTCGTATGCTTTGTCATTCCAGTTCTCGCCGTGGGGAAGCCATGACTCTTGGCTGCCGCTGCACAGACGACCAGAAGATAACAGCGTTAAAATGGAGCGGTGCTCCAGTTTCATTGATGGTACGAGAGCCTAACTGTTCGGAATTATTCGCTTGAGACTAGTGATGAATATAAATGTGGCTGGAGAGTGCAAAGCTTGAGAAAGATCCGGAAAGATTTGGATAGACTGTGTGAAGAATGATACGTCTGTGAAAGGCTGACCGTATTGAGATGACGTCTGATAGAGAAAAGTGGAGGGAAAGGACATGTTGTTACCCACCTATTGTGTGTAAGGGCAGGAGAAAGAAGAAGAATTATTCGCTTAGCTTATTTGTGGTAGGGCCACGCAACGGTCTTCGCTGTTGCAGGAATGGGCAGGTCCGTCCGGGTAAGTACCACGACCTCATAAGGCCGGAGTTATGTAGAAATTTTGTACTTCTTCGCTTCGTCTGGTGAGTGAGGTAACCGGGGCCCACTCTTTTTAAAGGAGGCAACGTATTTGCAACCTTGCTGCTGTTGCGAATGTCCATGGGCGGCGTTTACTGCATAACTATCTTCTTAAATGAAAATAAAAGCTAGTGAATTATTAATGACAGTCATGCTATTTTTATCCGACTGCGCCAGAAGGAGGATTATGTTTTTCGAGAGTACGTATGTATGTATAATTGTTTGGCACGCTCCGCAGCTTGAACGGCTTGATGGATTTTAGCTTGATAGGTGTCGTTAGATTCGTATTTACTGTGAGAGTGACACTGGGTATGGCAAAATAAAAAAATAAACAGAAACGCCGTCGGGTTTTTAGTTTTTTAAATTATATTCTACTTGTTTATTGAACTGCAATGCTTATCGGTAAATAATATGGGTGCGTCTCTAATTATGAAATGGAAACGTTCCAAAACCTTCCTTGAACAGGTCTGTGACACTTTAAAGGAACCATTTCATTATTAAAATAATACGTAATTACAATAATAATAACTAGAACCATTCTGCATTTCACATTTGAACAATCTTAGGTATCTTTTTTTTTATGTGAAAAGTTGGGCGCTTTGAAAATTGGAAAAAATCTCCAAGCCGCTTCTACTGAAATTGAGATAGCCTCAATGTATCCGTCTTTCCGCTATACATGACTTCACGTGTGTCTTTACAGTAACAGCCAAGAGCTCCATGGAGGCTGTCATGCATGAATTTAGGATGAACGGTTCGGACTCGCCCTACGATCCTGATGAAGAAGCTTTCATCAGGCCAACTGGTAAGTCCATTCGCCATACTCATACTCATAAGCATACTCGACCGCAATACAAACGAGATAAGTTGCTATCAAAGAAACGTCCGATTTTGTGCATACGAGTACATAACGATTGGTAACACCAGAATTTGAGCTTTGATCGTTATTTTCCGGGCGCTCGACTTTAATTCAATATACTCGAGCAACCTGAGTTCGATCCCCGGTGTCGGCACCAATGAAGTTTTTAACTTTAAGTGCTGACTTATCACGTGCTCCGCGGTGAAGAAAACATCGTGAGGAAACCTGCATATTTTGTAAATAATAACAAAAAAATATATATTTCGAAGATATGTGAAGTCTGCCAATCCGCAGTGGGATCGCGTGGTGGTCTATGCCAGCAGCAGTGGAACATATATAGGTTGTTAGTTTACTTTACAGGTAATGCAATCAAAAGATTTAGCTAAATCATGCGAAAATGAAGTACGAAGCAGTTTAAACGCGACGTTTGCATCGTGAAAGATCTTTTTCGACACTCTAACTGTACCAAAAGTTTTGTTTCAGTACAATCGGTATTAATGGAATGGAAACTGTAACTGAAATGTATGGAAACTCAAGATTGTGGATCACACGTGTTTTTTTATTTAAGAACAAACGGGTCGCCCTTGCAACGTGCCGGCTTGAAAATATAGCCAAAACGCTGACGTCATACAACACTACAAACTGCTCTTACCCTTGGTTCTACTAGGTAGATTCCTACAGGGGAAACGTATTTGTGTGACTTACAGATTACTACTAGAATTATGATGAGTATTTTTTTTTTTTCAAAAAACATAGCCCTTACTTTACGATAACATTATCCTGTGTTGTAAGGACGTTTTACAAACAATAATTTCACGCGGACAAACACCTAGATGCGAAAGAACTATCTGTGGGACACAAATAGTTGTCCCGTGTAGGGATCGAACCCACGACCCTGTGTCATAACTGTTGACGAATTGACTGTATAGAGAAAACAGAAGACGGTTAACAATTGTAATATCTATGGGCTGGGAATGTTCGCTTGCAGGGTTGTTGGGGCTGGGCCCGTCCAGTGCGTACTTGCGGCAGAAGTCGTGGCCGGCGCCAGAACGCTCCCCTAGTCAGCGACTGCCTCAGAACAGAACAATCACGCCATCTTCCTCCAGTCCACCACCCAATTCTCCTCGTATGTTTATTCATTTATTTATTTGAACAGGCTTACCAACTAAATAAGTAAAACGATTATAATCCTGGTGTGATGCACTTAAAATTTAAGTGTAACATTTTAGATATGCATTCAAATTAAAGGTAAACCTACAAAACTAGCAGCAGTAAGAAAATATGAAAAATGGAACAAAAAATACTTATTGAATCTCTAGATTACATGTTATTGTATTTTCAAGAAGGTAAATATCGACGAAAGATGCTGCAACACAAAATCACGCCATTTAAATGTGTTGTTATGGATTTTCACTTATTCCTAACTTTATTTGCCTTTCTGAGCACCCTTTGCTTCAATATTTTTATTTTTCTCATTGTTATTTTGAAATAAAGAATTGTTGTTTTTGATTGTTATCGTTAAAATGTGCTAAAAAATCTATAGTATATTTCCCAATATTACTTTATCATGATACTTTCTCGTAACATCAACTGCATGGGTTGAAACTTTATTCTTTTTTTCATTTGTTTCATCTAGACATATACAGGGAGGTTGCTCATGCGCCCCCCTCGCCCATCAACTCCCCATCCGCGATGCTGACAGCAGAACAGTTGAGGGTCCTCAGCTCTTTGCCAAAGGTGGTCCTCAAGTCCCTGCTAAGGGAGCTGGAGAAGCGAGACGACATTAACTCCGTACGTATAACATTCTAAGATTTTTGGTAAATTACAAGGCCACCTACTGGCTTCAGGGAACCCTGTTTATGGACATTTTTATAGATATTAGAAGACAACCTCTAGAAGGAAGAGCGTCGGCCTGTTGGATGTAAATAATTATAATTATATGGAATTTTTACTCAAGACGTGGGGAGTATTTATTGAGCCGTTATTCAACTAGGGGTGTCTACCCCTAGTTGATACCTCCTTAAGCACCCCACCGGAGTGACCTTAGTCCAGGACGCTTTTTATAGGTGGAAAAATCCTTTATCTATTACCTGAAGCCAGGTTGAGGAAGAGGCATAGTTATGTGGGAATCCCAGAAAACTGGTTGCCTGCTAAAACTCAACAATGCACCCGTTTCTGTCGCATCGGTCGGGGAAACGGGAACGTAAAAACGCAGATCTTCGTTGACCTCGGCGTGACTTTGGCTTTCTCAGTTCTCTACGTAGATGCTCGGTCGGGCTTTATGCAGTGCCGGTGCAATTAGCACAGCACCCTCATGAGCCCCGTATTGAACCGCAGACACCGCCTGCCTGTCGTTTAGAGGATCACTATTAAGGGAAATGATGCGCGCGTAGGCAAGCCTTGTTGGCGACGGTAATTGCCTCTCTTTCGCACGGTAACAACAACATGTGAGCACTGCATGTTGTGTGAGCACTGTGTGAACAACGACAGGCAGTGAGAGGTTACGCCCAATGTGCAGTTCTTGTGCGTTCCAAAAGCCCGCGTGGCATTGATGGCGTCGGTGCTACCAAATTGGGCCTCACTACTACATTGGGCCTCACTACTACATTGGAACTCGCTACCACATCGGACCTCGTTACCACATCGGACCTCGTTACCATATCGGACCTCGTTACCACATCGGACCTCGTTACCACATCGGACCTCGTAACTGTTTTGGACCTCGGTACCAAATCGGACCTGTTCGGTTGCTCTGAGTCACTCTGTGTGTAAAGGGCGCGCGTGGCAGTGGCGGCGGCGGTGGCAGCAGCGGCTGCGCGTTCTGCCGCAGCAACGGCGAGCGCGCGTCGTGGTGTAACGCGCACGTGCTGCGCTCCGGCGGGCGCGTGCGCTGCCCCGTGCTGCGCGCGCTCGTCTGTAGACGCTGCGGCGCCAAGGGCGACCACGCACACACCATCAACTACTGCCCCTTCGCCTCGCCCGACGGTGAGCCCCTCTTCATACGCGTCGGAGAAGCATCGCTCTCGTAGACTTTGCCCTTAGTGCTTATCAGGGTGAAATGCGAGCACAAAACACAACAATCACAGTTTTGTATTACTTAAAATTAGATTAAACAATGTTTTAGTCACCTCACAACAATGTCGAAAGAAAAACTAATAGTTAAAACCGAGCAGCGGGTTCAGGGCACCAATCTTACTTTAACTAACGAATAAACTCTCAACGATCCAACTGGGTCAAACGCTATCATTCTAATGTGTCTTCCAAAACTGTCGTCCCTTAAGTAAAGATGACGCCTCGACCCCACTCGAGACACGTGCTCTGCTCTGATTAGTCGTTACTTGGTTTACAATATCAAAAAATTATAATATTATATTCAAATATTATATAATCATAAAATGTTATTTTTTCTATTTATATTCATAATTATGTATCATAACTTATTTTCTTTTATATTATTATTAATCTGTGTCATTTTTTATATCCCTTGCTGCACCTACCTTAAACTTTCACAATACCCGGGTTGACTGGTAGAGAATGCCTTTGGGCATTAAGTCTGCCCTTTGTTACCTTTTCTTATTAAGGTTAGCAATAAAGCATAAATAAAAAAAATATCAAGGTTTGAATTTATAGAAATATAACTTAAAACCTTGATACTTATAATTTAAGTTATATATAATATAATAAATCAAATAAAATTAAACTAAGATTTTGAAAGCAATTAAAAGGTAAACAGATAATTATGCGTTATACACGCAAACATCCCGACAAATAGCTATAATTTTCTAAATCTAACACCGCTTTACGAAGCGGTGGTAGATCTATATATGCTTAGATCTTTAAAACTACGCAACGGATTTTGATGCGGTTTTCTTTAATTGATAAATTGATTCAAGAGGAAGGTTTATATGTATAAACAATGCATAATATAGTAGAGAAACACTGATAATTTTAGGGGTTTCGATGATGAATGCGATGTCGAAAACAAACATTCAGCATTGCACCCATGCAAAGCCGGGGCGCGTCGCTAGAACCAATAAGCTAAACGTTCGACTGCTACGCAGTAGAAAATCTCAACGCATTTTATTTTACATTGGTGTTTTCGCATTATAAGCATAAGATGCGGCAAGCATTAATTGCAAGCAGTAATTTGAAGAAGCTGGGGCGTCTATTAGCTATCTTAAGTCACTAAAACAGACCCGTTTCATAAGGTTTTAAGATGCTACCATAGCCAATGGATACCAATCTTCTGAATGGGACGCGTTTTAGTAGTGACGTGATTTTTTTTTCGTTAAAGAACGCGCGCGATCGGCCGCCATGATGCGCAGCATTCGTTCAGCTTCGGGCCGTCGCCGTGCGCAGCAGCTAGCGCCATCTGTTGGCAGAGAGTATGTAAGATTTGGCGATCCAACGCCATCAGTTATCCAAGACATGAACGAGTACAAACACGAGACTCCCCTTGATCCCATCTGGGCGGCGTTGGAAAAGAAGCTTATGCTTTAATTGATTGTCAAACGATTTAATGAACACCAGTGATTTTATAAATAATATATTCGTTTTTGATCACTTTTTATATTGGTCTTACGAGTCCTTAGATTTTTGCTAATTGTTATGTCCGATCTCGTGTTTGTAGACGGTAATACTAGATGGCGTTATATTTTTTCAGTATCAAAGTGCAACATTTTAATACATTCATTGTTTTTTTTTGAAACAATCTCCGTTATAAATTGTTATTTGGGTGGGTTTACTTTATCTGTGTATTTTACTGTAATAAAAAATATCGAATGGGTATTTTCATAATTTTTATAGTTTAATACTTTATTAATTTGACATGTTAATTCGTCCATAAATTGTATTGAAACAATTTCGACGTAAGTTTTATTACAATTTTTTGTACCTAATAGAGTTGATATTGGAATAAATTACCTGCGCTAGTAAATGTAATTGGAATATTGCACAATTGTATACTAGTATTTTCATTTTATTTTTAATCTCGAGACTGAGTTAACAGTGACAGAATAGTATCGTTGAAATAAAATCGTGAATCTTTTGTAACTATCATATAAATTTAGCTTTTTTAATGCATTTTCGTTAAATGTCTATTGTTTTCAATGTGGAATCAACATATTACTGAAACATAAAATTAATTGTCAGCTAAAGAATATTTATTTTAATTTCTAATTGTACTCGATTTGAAATTAAAATTTCCTTAAATTACATACCGGCAATAATTAAAATCATTTCTATGTGAAGGAATAGTTTATGAAACTGTTTATAATGTTGTCATTATATACACAGTTTTATAAGCAGCTTAACTGAAGCATCGTTGAGTCAATATTAATTTTGCATTGAAAAAAAAAAAAACGTATTTTATTTTGAAACTGTTAACATTTTTGTGCAAACTTACTTTATTGAATGCGTATACAGTTTATTTGCTCAAAGGTACTACTTTATCAAATTCTTTCTTTTATGTTCTTAACGAATAATTTCTTCTCTCTTTTAATTTCAAACGTTAAGGGTTTTTTGCCTCTTAACTTTTACATAACATAATTTTTGTCATTGAGTGATTTGGCGCCAAATTGTAACTCTTGCTTGACAAATATAACGAAAACGTATTTGTTGTGTATTATCTTCTTATTATCTTTTGTATTTCTATCGTATTATATGTTGTATTACAAATTTTTCATTATATAACTAAAAAAGCGAATTATACGATTGCATTATTATTTTACATGTTAATGTTGTAGTGTTTCTACATTATATTTGTGTTATTTACTTGATTTTCACCGAAGAGATTGTATTTTCATATTTGTTTCGTTAATAATGATGCTATGTTTTGACATTTCGTACGGTGTTGGTGTCTTCTGGGTCAAATAAAGATTGTTGATTCGATTATTACTTTTATTTAAGCTTTTCTACTTATCCTGAGGAAAAAATCGCGGTTCACGCAGAATTGAACCGCGCTCAATTGCCGAGGCAGAACTTGAGAGTGAATTTATAAGTTCAGGGTAACGCAGCAGTCTTGGCCGTTGCACCAATGGGCAAACTGTACTGTGAGCTCGGTTTTGTCGTTACCACGAGAACAGGCAACAATCGTTATAAATATATTATAATCAGCTGGTGCTGTCGTTTCGAACATGTGAATTTTCTCCCACCGTGAAAATCTTGCCGTCTAACTACATTAAAAAAAAGAATTATATATTATCAGTGAGTACAGAGACTAGCACTAAATATAAAATTAACTATAAATTATTTGTTATAATTTAAACTAATGTGAATTTATTGCATTTATTATTTCATTAAATTAATATTTCTGATATTTAATTTTAACCGAACCGGTAGTAGTGCTTTTTGACAATCGATAAGTAGTGCTTCTATATTGAATAAAGATATTTGAGTTGAATAACAGCATCCGTGGTCACCACGTAGCGTTTGTCCCACGATAAGTGAGGTAGAAGTAAGGAAATTCAAATAGTTAATTCATCCAATTAAGAAACATAAATTTCAGCTATCCATAGTATTTTTTTAAATCTACCACCGTTTTGTAATGAGGTTACTCTAACAGAGAAGAAACAGGCGAAAGAAACTCGGTAGGTATCCTATGGAAGTATTGGATAGATTAACTAGTACAGTAGTATTGTTTTAAATTAATTGCGATAAGATCCAAGATAAAAATAGTTTTATTAATCTATGTATAAAAATCGTTAGCCAATAATCACTTATTTCTTTACAGCCTAATTAAGTATTAACGTAATATTAAATCATACCGTTCTTACTCCAGTAGCGCATTGGCATATTGTGTCTTAAACAAAAAATCTTCAAATCCGAAATGACTATCCGTCTAGGTCTACGGTTTTGTTTCTAGAGGCAAATACATATAACGTAATCAAACAATATTTAAATCCTTCAACTTATAAAATAAGGAAACAGAAATCGATATTTTTGACAACAAAATATCTAGTTTCAGATATTCGATAAAATTGTACTTAAGTGCCAATAATATTTTTATAAATTGTTAATATCTTCACCAGTCAATTCATATTTTTTATTGTAACATATTTTTTTAGTAACATACTTTTTATACTGCTTTTTTTTCTGTTTTTACCGTATTTTAGTTTAAAGTTTGTATTATTATAATGCTCGTATTTCACATTTAGTTTTGTAAAAGTTTTTTATTAAAATATGTAGAAAAAGTGCGAAAAGATTGTCGCCGCTGTGGGAATCGAACCCACGTCTTCGGCATTCGCGGCCTGACGCTCTAGCCACTGAGCTAAACGGCTGATTGCCACACCGACGAAAATCTTAACGCATTCTTCCACATTGTTTTCTTAGCATTTGAAGCAATGCTTGGCGCCATCTATTCTTATATCCTTTCCAGCATAGAAACACTATTTTGAATATCGTTTTACAACGATAATTCGAACGAGAGATGTCGCCTTGTTTTTTTAGAAATTTTAAATTGTTTATAGTGCTAATCTTTGCACTTAAGATTGAACATTAAAATATGTAGAAAAAGTGCGAAAAGATTGTCGCCGCTGTGGGAATCGAACCCACGTCTTCGGCATTCGCGGCCTGACGCACTAGCCACTGAGCTAAACGGCTGATTGCCACACCGACGAAAATCTTAACGCATTCTTCCACATTGTTTTCTTAGCATTTGAAGCAATGCTTGGCGCCATCTATTGTTATATCCTTTCCAGCATACAAACAATTTCGAATATCGTTTTACAACGATAATTCGAACGAGAGATGTCGCCTTGCTTTTTAGAAATTTTAAATTGTTTATAGTGCTAATCTTTGCACTTAAGATTGAACATTAAAATATGTAGAAAAAGTGCGAAAAGATTGTCGCCGCTGTGGGAATCGAACCCACGTCTTCGGCATTCGCGGCCTGACGCACTAGCCACTGAGCTAAACGGCTGATTGCCACACCGACGAAAATCTTAACGCATTCTTCCACATTGTTTTTCTTAGCATTTGAAGCAATGCTTGGCGCCATCTATTGTTATATCCTTTCCAGCATACAAACAATTTCGAATATCGTTTTACAACGATAATTCGAACGAGAGATGTCGCCTTGCTTTTTTAGAAATTTTAAATTGTTTATAGTGCTAATCTTTGCACTTAAGATTGAACATTAAAATATGTAGAAAAAGTGCGAAAAGATTGTCGCCGCTGTGGGAATCGAACCCAATCAAGAACAGAAATCAATGCCTCAGTAACCGTACTGACGATGACACCGTAGCGCATTGGCAAGGTATTGGCTTCGGCGCCGAAGGTCGTGGGTTCGATTCCCACGCCAAATGTTTGTGTGGCCCACAGATAATTGTTTAGCATCTGGGTGTTTGTCCACGTTAAATTTATGCATGTTAAACTTCCTTATAACACAGGATAATGTTAACCTACATTAAGGCAGTGTTTCGAAGGGAAGACTACGATAGACTATATAATTTCTAGGTCGCAGTCGTCATTGGGACTTACAACCACATCAAATACAAATTCAATACAACCGTGCCGACTGGGTCATGAGATGGAATAAACGGGGGCGGAATTATTAATTGGTCGAATAATTCGCGTGACTTCGGGTGTGCTCGATATACCGGGCCGTGGCTAAAGATAGTAAAAGTAACTGGGACGGTGCTGACTTCGAATCGGTCGCGTTATACTTCGCGCGGAATTAAGGGGGAGCACGAATTCGGCGACTAAATATTCAAAGGCCCATGTGACATACTATGCGCTGATCCTGCATTGCTCTCGCAGCGATAACCGACCTTGAGACTGGAGCATAAGGTTCCAATTGCCATAGCATCGAAGCGGAGCTACCAAAGCGGTCTGAATTCGGAATCGAGCATCAAAAACGCCGACCGTTCGCAGCTCGACCGATTGAAAGTTTCTAGTGCGAAAATCGACCTTATTTAGTGGGCGATTAACCGCAGATTCCATCGATTCCCGTCCTCGTTCTGCGATGGCGTTAAGGTCGACAGTCGCGTGGGGCGTCGGGGCAAAACATCTAGGTCCTGTGCCGGTTAATTCGGCTATCTGGGCCGCGGAAGTGGGACGTGTGGACAGGTGAAAGGGGTGGGGGTCGAGTTGCACAGATGCTGTGACGTCACGGTGGTCAGCGAGATAAAACGACGCGGTTGTCGTTCGCTCCTTCAATATTGTAAATTCGAAAGCTCGTGTGCGAGCTTGCCTTTTGCCTACTGGACACAGTACACACACTTACTAATGGACACAGCCTGTATGTTGGTTACACGCAAGGGCTACTTAATCCTGTGAGAACTCACCATTTCCAAGCTTTGCTTAATTTGGGATTAGATAATGTTTCATAACAATGTCTCGGAAATATATTTAAAAAAAATATCTTATGCAATTGCTGGTAAATTTTGCATCACATATTGGATATGGTTCTCCATATAGACTTTGTTTATGCAAAATCCTACTGTACCTCCGCACAAAAACAATATTGGATCCTTTGTAAAATTAATAGCAAATATTCAAATTAATCGTTTTGACGTCGTTTTCGTATACTAAACCGATATGCGATTAGAAACAACAAGTAAAAGTGTGACAAGTAGCGAGTGTGTTTGACAGTGCGTCAAAAATCCGTCACACCTAAAACTCCTTTTGGGTTTGAATAGATTGGAATCAGCAATTTTAGTACTCGAGACGACTGCGCGGCTATGTCACTAACCTAAGATTCATTATGCTGGCCGTTTTACAAGTGCTTTAACGTTTAGCACTGTTGGGTCGTTGCGTAGTTAGAGAATGCATTGAGCTTAAGAATTTCGGCATCGGCGTTCGAAAGTGAATCTTAACGGTTAACCGTGAGAGTGTTAACGTGGTCTATTGGGTGTATACCTGAATTGACCCTGGACGTGGATTCTCGGAATGCTAAGAACACTGTGGTGGCCTATTGGTTCGTTGTGCTTTTACAACGGAAGGGAAGAAGATATCGTTTAATCTTTCATGAAAATATACTTTAATGGATTTTCTGTATTGTGATTGGGCTGTGTGTAATCATAAACCTTTTTCGGGAGAATTTGGCACATGAACAACGGCTCTACGGGAAGCACTATCTGGATTTAATTTTAAATAGACGAGATATAAGTTATTTGTTTGCATAAAGTATTTTATGATTGCAGTATTGTGAAGGTTGAGTGATCGTCACTACAGTGACTAATTTTCTATTAAGTGATCAAATTCTTTCGTAAAGGTTTTAAGACTTAGGAGACGAGGTCAGGGTTAGTAATCCTGGGTGTTATGGTTGTTGTGATGATTCATACAAGTGAGATCGTCTTCATCTCGAACGCGTTTGGACTCAGCGAAGACTTACCTATAAACGGTAAGGCGTCGAGCGTGGCCGCTCAGGTGGCTGAAGCATCCAAACTTGCATAGGATTTGCTCTTGCAAATTAATTCAATACAAGTTCAAATTCAAAATGATTTTATTCAGATAGACTATAAAGCAGTTTCTGTTGAGAAGAAACCGGCAAGAGTGTTGGCAGTTGCTTTTTAAAAAAAAGAAAAGATCAGTTTACAATATAACATGGTACATGTATAATAGTCTCATTTTAGCCTACGTGAGTATCAACAGTATTAACTCCACACAGGCGTGAATCAAGTAATATCAGGATGTCAGCCCTGTTATTGTATACAGGCGGTGGCATTTTCCGTTTCTCATTAAATACATCGATTTTTTCCTTTCGATCTGCTTTTAGTTTCGAGGGCGAACAGTTTAAAAAGAAAGTCGCCGATTGGATTCTTCTTTCTTGTCAGAATGAAAGATGCCACTCTATTATATTGATCGAAGTGATAAACACACAACCGACGAACGGTATATCTTGTTCCAAATACAATGACGTTAATTTTCGGGTCGTAAGTATAATTCCACCCACAGGCTCTTGTATTGGAAGCGTCATTTGCATTTCACCATTGAATTCGGTTGCCATGGCTTAGATGCGTGCGTATTATGCGATTTCGCAATATAGTCATAGGATGATTTATTTCAAAACATCTGTAGATGTCTGCTACTTTATGTTACCCAAATTTGTAGATACTAATAGCACCGGTGATAAGGACAAATTCAGTTGTCTATGATAAAATGTAATGTGGTCTTATAGTTTTACTGTTGCTAACTGCTTCATTTTAAAATGTGAATTTGCGTAGATAAATTAACGAAAACTTTCGGCAATCGAACCTAGGACTTCTGCTTCAGACGCTTTACCAATTAATCTACGCGACCCATGAGTCCCTTGACCTCGACACGAAAATCTCGACACATATCTGTCATATATACTGGGCGCCATCTAGTGTGCATAATTAACAGTTTGAAACAACGAACATTTAATGAAGAACATTTGTGACAAGAGATGACGCCTTAACTTTTTGCGTATATATCAAACTTAAAATGTGTTTGTAGATAAATGGACAAAAAACTTTTAGTAACGTGCCAACAACTGATTTTTTATTATTTTATCAGTTTTCAAAGACACAAAAATTGCTATAAAATTTCATTTTCATTGTATTATTTCTATAGTAAAATATATAAGGCTGAAATTGATTTAAGGAAGTCAAACTCGTCAAACTACCAGTACTTACCAGAAAAGTCTGGAGTGAGGAATCAAAATAGAACCCTATCAAATACATAACGTCGTAATGGGCTGTTAATGTTGTAAAACGTAAGTATTTTTTAGGTACATTTGTATTTGTTATGTACATAGCACAGTTGGAATTAGGTTTCATTCTTCTCAAATTCTTAAAAATACGAACCAATTTTGCAGTTTAATTTATGTAATCGGTTAGATTTTATTACAGTTTGTCGTAGCCTCAAAACACTGATTGACTGAAACCAGTTTTATAAACCCTATGTAAACTCGAAGTCAATACATGCGTATTTGCTAAGCAACAACCAACGGAATTATTTTATTTGTCTTCACATTTATACAAATAACTGGTTAGAAGGGCTCTTTGTCTGCCTTTCTGATCTTACCTCCAGATCATGTATTTCTGGACTCGCAAGAATACTAAGTACAGCACCGAAACCTACATAATTTTGAACAAAAAAACCGACTTCAAACAGGAAACGAATAAAACATTGTCAACGCCTATAACATTTGAGGATTGCCCTCAATTTCCCTGCGATGCCATCATCACCAGATCTGGGTTTTCTTATCATGGTACCACCCTTGGAATATCTCCTTTCCAACAAAAAAAAAGAATCATCAAAATCGGTTCATAAATGACGAAGTTATCCTTGAACACACATAAAAAAATATATATACGGTCGAATTGTGAAACCTCCTCCTTTTTTGAAGTCGTTTAAGAAGGTATTTAAATGTTTTTTAAAGCGCTAATCTCTGCACATAAGCTAAAACATTAAAACTCGTAGAAAAAAGGACGAAAAAGTCTTTCTCCGCGGCCGGAATCGAACCCGCATCATCAGCATCGTCTTCCGGATTCACGCCCAGAGACTTAACTTAAACACTAAGCTTAACGGCAGATTGCCACATCGACGATAATCTCAGTCTCTTCATCTATACTATTATGCTGTATCCTTTTTTCTACAAATATTAAAGAAAAGTATAATTGTCCGAGTATTTTCTTTTTTTCTATTATTTGTCAACGTCTCAATTCTTCCGAAGATTCTATTGAATTCGCATAACATTCACTTTAGTTAAGCCTCCATTAATGAGCACTTAGCATACCACGGTAATGTTAAACTAAGTCCCCAATCGTCCGGGCCTACGCCCACGCCCCTCCATATCCCCCCCTCCCCGCCACGTGCCGAGAGAAATGGCCGACCTTGTTTCTTGACCCACTGCGGACGTCTCGGCGTAGCACCGCGCACACAGCGACACCACACCCACACGTAGGCAGCGTAGAGGCGTCTTACATGCTCTAGGGTACAAGGCTACCCAATTCCTGGTTTAGGGTATTGGATAATGGAATCGAAGAAAAGTAATCTCTATTATACACATTATCTTAATGAAAGAAGAAAGTATTGTATATTTGTTTTGTATGTGTTTTGCATATTTTTTGAAGAGAAGGTGGAAAATTTTTTAGTGTTTCAATAATTTGTTTAGTTGGTATGATCAATATCACCAAACCAAACTTTTGGCTTACAGTAACCTGGAAAGTATATAATTTATACTTCGCGCCGTGCTTCGTTGATACCGTGACACTTTTATCGCCAAGCTCTGTTTATGCTTCAGCAAAGTTCTGGTTTTTGGTTCTGTATTAATAACTCTATATTCATAGTTGTAGGAAACTCGTTTCCAATACGTCTTTCACTTAGGTTTGTTTCCATCACTTGTGACCGTACCAAGTCTTTGTACTTTATTAGTCTTGAATGTACTTTATTATCCTCTACATATGTATAAAAATATGCATATGATTAAAAGAAAACATCTATATTAATTTCACTGTAATTTTACTGTGTGCCCTTATTAGTATTAACAAACGCAAAATCAAATTTTCCACGCAATGTTGGGAATCCTGATTCAAAATGATCGTTTTAGATCATTAGCCGGAGCCCAATTTCCAAAAAGGTTGTCAACGCATTTGCAAACCCTCTGGTGTAGCAGATGTCTATGGGCGGCGGTATTCACTTAACATCAGGTGAACCGTCTGCTCGTCTGGCAACTTTTCACATAAAAAAAAAAAAAAAAGATTTATTTAAGGTATTGATTCTAATGAAATTTCTATGCTTTTACTCTAACGCCGGGGTCTACTTTCTACCTCTCCGGCGCTTCCCTTTATAAGTCTTTCCACGCTGACTTGTTTGTATATCGTTTCCCATATACATCATTCTCGAGGGAAACTTTATCGCTTATTTCTATCGATCTTCCATTGTTCGATACAGTGATTGATCGTTATTAGTCAGTTTTGATGAGACAATGCAGTCAGAAGCCTCTAACAATGTGTTCTTTCCGTGGCAATTTGTTACTTCCATTTTGCTTAATTTACAGCTGCCTTTTAATAGAGGTCGATGGCAACTTTCAACTTGTCAATATATGGTAAAATTATATTGAAACTAAACAACATTTTTTTACTAACGAAAAACAAAGCCGACTTCAAATGTCTCTCTCTGTATTTATTTACAATTGATTCTCATGAGTTCCCTGCGTGTCTCCGCAAATCAAATTCTTCTTCTTCTTCTTCAAATAAAAAAAGAATCATCAAAATCGCTTCACCCAATCGAAAGTTCTGAGGCAACAAACATAAAAAAACACATTCGAATTGACAACATCCTCCTTATTTGAAGTCGATTGAAAATGATTGAACTAAAGTAGTGCCAGGGACCCACACTTTTATTGCTTGCTTGTTTTACTGCGGTCTCGCATGTTTGACGTCCATAGATGGCGCTAGTAGTTTACGATCAAGTAAACCAAATGTTCATGACTTTTGTGGATCCAAAGCAGTAATAATGCAATTGCACTGGGCCTCGTCACTACAAGGCCTATTGCAAATCGGTCGCCATTTTAATAGAAGTTACGGGAAACACGGTATGTTAACATTAATATATTCAACAGTTCTTAGTGTCACGAACGGGATACTAGTAAATTTAACGCGTACGGTACTAAGGTATCGACGTTTATTATGCTAATCTGGATAGATAACCGGTTACGCGCTGTCGTGTCGATCCACCCTAGATGTTTATGAGGTCACGATAATATGTATTACCACCGCTGAATGCTGTTATAACTAAAGTTTAAAACAACCTTTTGCTGTAAAAGTAACTATTATTAATTATAAATTAACTACTATAAATTATTATTAAAACGATGATGCTCACGCAAGTTAAAGATGAATTTGAAAAAATCATATATAAATAATAATAATGGATATAAATAGACTGAAGGATATAAAGGAACTTACTTGAGAAGGGATCCATATAGGTTCTGCAGATCTTGCATACCCTAGGGCTCAAAAGAAACTGCTCGAAACCAAAACTTACTCTGTTTTTAAGCGACCATAATTTTATTATAAATATATAATGGATATATAAGAGATATAGACTGACGTCTAATATGCGAGGGCCGTGATAGCTCAGTATCCGGGCGGTCGCCTTTAGTTCAATATACTCGAGCAACCTGAGTTCGATCCCCGGTGCCGGCACCAAAATGAAGTTTTTAACTTTAAGTGCTGACTTATCCCGTGCTCCGCGGTGAAGGAAAACATCGTGAGGAAACTGCATATTTTCGAAATAATAACAAAAAAATATATATTTCGAAGATATGTGAAGTCCGCCAATCCGCAGTGGGGCCGCGTGGTGGACTATGCCCTGATACCCTCTGTATAGAGGAGGCCTTTGCCCAGCAGTGGGACATGTATATGCTGTTACTTCACTTTTACTAATATGCGAGTATGTTGCTTGCTATATTGCTGTAGTTACGTGGATAAATTTATTTGTTTACGCAGCGATGGCAGACGCAGTTGAGACAATGGGTTCGATTCCCCGATGCCCGCAACTACACCTGCCCGACTTCTGGAGCAGTTGAGATAGTTCCGTGTGAGTGTGTGTGACAAGGTATCGGTAGTGAAGGTCTTGGGATCGATTCCCACACAAGTGATTTTTTTTTGTTTATTTATTTAATTATTCCTTATTGAAATAATTTAAAATGGGTTTAAAAGGTGTTTTTTGTTTCGTAGTATGTTCTGAATGAGGGTCGAAGTTTGCCTGGCTCCGGTCGTGAAGAATCTAGCCAATATCACGAACCACACTATTCACGTGTTGTACCGACCCCAAAAAAATGGGATGAGGGCTGAAAGATGACGTGAAGTAGAATGTTACACTTCTGCGTTTCGCCCGGTGAGTGAGGTAGCCGGGGCCCAATTAATTAAAAGGTGGCAACGCATATACAACACAACGGTGTTGTAAATTTCTATGGGCGGCGGTTGTCACTTAACATCAGGTGAACCACCAGCTCGTTTGTTTATTTATCACATAAATAAAAATGACGATTTTCTGAAAAGCCGGCAGAGTTGTTACCCTCACGTGTTACGAATGTCCATGAGTAGTTGCTACACGTTAGTTTTCTTTATTTCATGAGACCGGGGGCATACAAGCGATTGACTGGGTTCCTAATCTGATGTTAAGTGTTCAGCTCTGCCTATGCGCACTCGTGACACTGGAAGAGTCGTTAATACGTTGCCGGTTTCGGAGCCAGGAATAGGATCTCTTATGCTCGTCCGTCTCAGTAAAAAAGACATGCATGTATTCAATAACGCCTATCGCTTTCCTCAATGATGCCGCTTCTCGGAAATCTCTGCGATCTCGTACGCTCAGGGCTCGATGCGTACTTATATAGTTTCACTCGCTGGCCACATTAAGATTCCGAGTCTAGGGCCGTTTATCTAGTACTGAGCGTATCGTGTTAGCCGGTTACGTATGCGGAGGAAAGCCGCGGCGCTCTGTTAGTCTAGCGATGTTTGATCGGTCAATAAAAAGCGCTCGCGGTGCTCGTACATGTCATACTATGTGTGGATTTAGCGGAGAGCTAATTGAGATTGATGAGATTTCGCGTTCGGAATTTCTTTTGTACCATTTATCGACGATAGGTATAAAGAAATATCTAAATTTATTAACTTTATTGCTAATTATGAGCAGTAATATAAAGCTCGGCTCGCTTACACTATACATCGTTGAATAAAACTTATTAATTAATAATATTAATTTTATTTTGATTGTGAATTCCCTAAATTTCCAACCCTTTATGGTCACGGGAAGTGTTTCAAATGTAGGGATTTTAGAATAAAAAAAAAACGTAAAGTATATTAAATCCAAGCAAACCGACACTGCTAGATCTCAAGATACCAGAGATTTTGCGTAGATCGGAATGAAAATAAATAACAAAATATTTGCCCAGCAGTGAGACATGTATAATAGGCTGTTACTTTACTACTGTAACGTATGACGAAAATACTAGCTACGAAAAGCGAATTTAAAATGTCGGCACGCATACACCTCTATATGTCATGTAAGAAAGAAAGAAAGAAAGAAAATCCATTTATTTAACAAAAAAAGGACGCACACAATAAAAGAGAAAAAAAACTAAAATTAACAAAAAATAAAAGAAATAATAAAATACTTATAAATAATTCAGTAAAGCAAAATTAATGCATTGTTAAAATATGAAATAAATGAAAAAGAACTTTAGCAAACCAAAAATATTCTACGCCCTATTCCGGTAAATTAGGTTAGCAGCTCAGCATTATGCTATGCCGAAAGTCAAGGCCCAACACAGCGCTGATTTTCAGTGCTAACCTTGCTATGTAGAAAAGATGTTTGTAGAAAAGATTCACGAATAGTTTTTCACTACGGGTTTTCGCTACGGGAAGCGAACCCATGTCTTCCGGGTTCGCGGCCGGGCCGCTTTAACCAAGGCGCAAGTCTCTACGTGTTTTATCTAAATTGTCATTTTGTAAGTGTCAGAGAGATAGTGACATTTATCATCGGATGAACCAGTTTCGCGTATTTCACCTATTATTTTGATGTATTTGTAGTAGGGTTGTGACGGAGTAGAGAAAACGAAATCTAACTCGCAAGATCTATTACAGACGTGCATATACATATGCGTTGGAAAGATGAGCACATCTATAAATTTGGTAGGAACATTCTTTCCCATTTTTTTTACTTCTTAGTCTATGTCATTGTCTTTTATTTTAGGCTCCGTACACAAAGGGTAAACCTAAAGACTATATTACTAAGACTCCGCTGTCTATCTGTCTGTCCGTCTGTCACCAGGCTGTATTTCATGAACTGTGATAGTAAGACAGTTGAAATTTTCACAGATGATTTATTTCTGATGCCGCTATAGCAACAAATATTAGAAAACAGAACAATAATTATTAAAGAAAAATATTGGAGTGGGGCTCCCATACAACATATTTTTTTTTTGCTGTTTTATATATAATAGTACGGGACCCTTTGTGCGCAAGTCTGACTCGCACTTGGTTTTTTTCTCGTATACTCGGGACCGTGTTCCCCAATTCTTTGCTCTTTTTTATGTGAAAAGTTGCCAAGTGAACGGTTCACCTGGTGTGAAGTGAACACCGCCGCCCATGTACATTTGGTACACCTGAGGCTTCCAGATGCGTCGACAACCTTTTGAAAATTGGGCTCCGATAACCTCACTCACCAGACGAAACGCGAAAGTATTATACTTCCACTTTACGCCGGTCTTCTGTGAGGTCGTGGTACTTGCCCGGACAAGCCAGCCCATTCGTGCAACAGGCGAGACTGCTGCGTGGCCCTACCACCGTAAAGCTCTGAAACAGCGTTGCCGTTTTTACCGCAACGTCTCGCCGAGTCGTGTCCTTTTCGACTTTTTTGACATGTCATGCGACGTACAACAGTCAAACGGTAAAACCATAAATATAGCAGGGTGATATTTCATGTAATTTTTTATCTGTTGTCATTTGCGAACTCGGTCGGTTACCTAGTTTTGAACGAACCTCTTTCCTATAACCTCTGGGTGACGGAGAGTCGTAGCTTGCTTCGTTGTGGCGTTCCAAGATTCGCGCGTACCTGACCGGAGCGAAATGGCCGCGGCGGCGGGGGAGTGGTAATGGGGGAGAGCGGGGAAGAGGGGGTGAGGTTGAAAAAGTAAAAGTCATGGCGTCGGAAAACTAACTGTGCCCGCATTCGCTCTCTACGCGTCACTGACATAGTTGCGGCTCGTTGCCGATTCGCGTTCGAGGAATTTGTTTGCGCTTAACGTACAATAGATGGCGTTGGCGGAGTTCTTGTACTCTATTCCCCGTTCGGCGCCTTACCGTTCATGTTTATCGACGGAAAAGTTGGAGATATTGTACACTTACTTGCTTGGCTGGCTCAGCGACCCAAAGAGGATCTTGGCCTCCGACACGAAACAAAAAAACACGGAGATATTGTACACAGTGACTTAAATTAACGGAGGGGCTTTGAAAGGGGCTTTGTTGACGCCGGACTGTGAAACAGTATATACTGTTTATTCTGTATTACACACCTTACACCTATAAAGTTGTGATTTAATGTTTTTCCGAATCATATGTATATGCACGTCTTTAATAGATCTTGGAAGTCCGATTTCGTCTCTCTACTCCGTTGCTACTCTACTACAAATGCATTAAAATAATATTTGAATAACGGGAAACTGGTTAATCCGATGATAACCGCTTAACCACTCCTAGGAATTCACGGAACATGAAGCTATGTATTATGATCATGAACTGTAAACAAGAAGATATCTATAAAATATCATACTCCCAAATACTCCACTTCACTATTCAAGTATTGTCCTAATATTGAAAACATAAGAAAGTAAAGTATTGACGTATATATTGATGATTATATAGACATCAAAAAATATTATTGGTACAAAAACTATGGAACTTACAAATTAAAGATTTCTTTCTTAAAAGGATCTTTGAATTAAATAAAATCTAGTAATTTTATTTAAGTAAACAGTGTTCTTTTTCAAACATAACCCATTAAACAATAAACGAAAAACTTTATAATACTTTAAATTTTCATAGTGCTAATCTCTGCACTTAAGTTTGAAGTAAAGATACATTAAATATTGTAGAAAAAGCGACGAAAAGTTTCTCGCCATTGTGGGAATCGAATCTACGCCGCGAATCCGGAGACTGCGGATATGCCCCTGACGATCAATACCAGGGGGTATAGAAAAAAAAAACCTTCCACACAAAATACAAATGCTTTGTACCCCTTATTACGAAAATTGCGCGGACGGAGGAGTATGAAATTTCCTACACTTATTGTAATAGAGAAGGAGTGCAGAGTTCTAATATTAAAAAAAATATGCCTTAAAAATACATAAAATCATTAGAAAAAAAAACATTACACACACTACCATGTATAATTAATTAGGGTCGAATTTCGACCACGGGGCGACCGCTAGCTATCGTAATTGTATGGAGCATATCGCTTGCTTGTGACCACACCCTAAAACGCGAGGAATGTGCAAAAATCACGGATATTCGAAGCGAGCCGGTGATGAAGCGGCCATGACACAACGTTAAACCGTTAAACCCATCCTCCGCATCTCTAAAACGGCCCGCCGTCGAACTTTATCCGATTCGAGTTTACCGCTAAACGATCCCTTTGTAACATTTTCCACGACGTAGGAGGACATTTTGGTATATACCACATCGAAGGTTGACGATCTCTGACGCGTTTAATCGCCCCGAAAGTGTTACCAGTTGTGAAGATGCCAATAGTTAATTCAAATAAAGGTGTAAAATAAGTAAGTAAAATGGCCTAGCGACTGCGAGATCAATTCGATTTAAGAGTTGAAGGTTCGAATCCTTGGTGTAATCTGTTAGTACGAGTATAACGAGATACTTCCTTACTAATATCATAAACGCGAAAGTTTGTATGTATGGATGGATGTTCGTTACTCTTCACGCAAATACTACTGTAGTTGTTGTTAACATTACAGCACATTGATTTCCTGTTTTTACGAGAATATTGTACATTTATGTGAAACTAGTTTGATTTTTGACTACAGACGTTTCGAACCATTACCAGCGTTCATGGTCACGGGACGGGCTGAGTTATTGTACTTCCAGATATTAAGCTCTTCTGTACACAGGATTTAGAGCATAGCACACCACGCGACCCCATTGCGGATCGGTGGACTTCACATTTCTTCGAAACATTGATTTTTTTGTTATTATTTCGAAAATATGCAGGTTTTGATTTTTCCCTTCACCGCGGAGCGCGTGATAAGTCAACACTTAATGTTAAAGACTTCATTGGTGCCGGCACCGCGGATCGAACTCAGGTCGCTCGAGTATGTTGAATTTAATTTGTTGCAATATTGCACTTATGCACGTAAGAATTTAGCATTCCTTAGCGTAATAAAAGAAAAATAACTGACAATTTTACTACGTGTTCCAGTACGTTTTGATTGTGAATAAAAATTAAATGAAATTGACACCGGTTTGATTAAGTTATCTAAACTTAGGAGTTATGGGTAAATGTCCATAAGTTATTATTGGTTGCCATGGTGACACAATAAGTCGGCGTCGCATTTACGTGTCGCGCATCGTATCTTAAAAATTCACTAGCGTCATTTTTTCAACAAAACCACGGTCCTTGCGACCGATGAACTTTCAAAGCTCACGGGTTTAGGTACGAACAGAACGAGACAGGGCGAACGAGACATAAAGAGGATTAGCGGGGTGCACTTTATTAAAAGATTAACACACCACGGCTATCACTTGACATCAGGTGAACCGCCAGCTCGTTTGCTGCTTTCTCATATAAAAAAAAGATTAGCGGATTGTCTCCACGAGGGACCGAAAGATTTAGTTGCTCCGCTTCCCATGTAGGTGACACGGATTACGGTGGCGGTTCTATTTTAACCGTTTCGGTTTTGTTTTCTGCGCGTTTGTACTAAATGCTCCCGTTTCGGTTGCCATTTGGCGGAATCGTTTCGGTTCTCTGTAAATTGCACAGCACTTTCACTGCGTTTCGGAATCATTTTTAAAGTATTCTCATAAAAGCGCTCGCAAGAGTGCTCTGAGGAATTGTTTGGGCTGATACCTGCTGGTGAATTTCACCATCGTACAACTCGTCAAACCGCCAAGTATCATCGACACCACCGTGATGGTTGGCGCTCCACCACAGTGCGTTTTTCACGAAACTTTCTACCCCGCACAACTAATTTGTGGAACGAGTTGTCGCCAGCGGTATTTCCAGACCGATACGACTTAGGGACCTTCAAGAAGAGAGCCTATTCCTACCTTAAAGGCCGGCAACGCAATTGCGACTCAACCGATGTTGCAAATGTCCATGGGCTGTGGTGATCGCTTATCACCAGGTGACCCACATGCTCGTTTGCCTCCTATTCCCATTAAAAAAAATATTTGGTCAAAGCTTGATTTTGACCAAATATTAAATAATTATCAAAAGAGCTCGTCGATCATTTCTGTTTGCGTTTTAGGAAGCAATTTGATTAGCTCTATTAAAATATGTAAGAAAAAGTACGATAAGTTTATCGCCGCTATTAATCGAACTTAAGTCTTCAGGATTGGCAATTTGATTAAGTTGAAAATGTCTCATTTTATATAAAGTCTTTTGACTGTAACAGAGTGTTTAAAAATGAACACGTCACCAACTCAAACGAGGCCAAGATGGAGCTGTTTAACTTTTTATTGAACTCGAAAATAATATGTATTGGATTAGCCGCCGTATATGTATGGCACAGATTTAAGAACGATATCCCAATTCGATGAAAGCTTAATAGAGCTTCCCATGTGAACTTATAACGATGGTAGGCCACGCAATGGCCTCGGCTGTTGCACGAATGGGCAGGCTCGTCCGGGTAAGTACCACCACCTCACAGACGACCGGCGTAAAGTGGAAGTATAATACTTTTGCGTTTCTTCTGGTGATTGAGGTGGTCGGAGCCCAATTTTCAAAAGGTTGTCATCTGGAACCCTCAGTTCTAGCAGATGTCCATGGGCGGCTTTATTCACTTAACATCAGATGAACCGACTGCTCTCTTGGCAACTTTTTACGTAAAAAAAATAAATAAATAAAGGGTCTCATAAGGAGCTATTCTTCTACCGTACATCTTCTCGAATATCCGTACGCTTCCTTGCTCACTTAACGTTCGCAAAAGAGCGCGCGGTGCGCCAAGGAGCAATTTCTCTTCTCGGCGCGCCGAGTTCGTAGGCCGGCGTTGTTTGCGGATGTGGCACAGAGCGAGCGAGTCGCGAACCGTGCCACTGACACACTTTCCAAACGCCGCGACCACGTCGCTCGATCGGTGCGCTTAAACCGCACGGCACGTTGATAGGCGGTAGCGGGAAGTCGATTTCTGTATCGTTGTGTAGCTTAGATACAGGCTTAGCTTTTTTTAAAGTAAGTAAAAGTAAAGTATCAGCCTATAATTATATGGCCCACTGATGAATAAAGGCCTCCTTTATTCAGAACCCACTACAGATTGGTATATTTAACATTTATCTTCGAAATATATGTTTAATTATTATTTCGAAAATATGCAGGTTATTCGTGATAAGTTCGATTTCTACCTCTAATTAATATTTGTGTGACCTATTGCTAATTGTTCTGTTTGTGAGCGAATTTTGTGCTTTAATGTCGTTCTAACATATGATCTTTTCTATGCTATTTTATTGTTTTAGAGAGGCTTTATGATAATTTGGCTTATTTTTCTTAGCGATACGTTTGTAAATTATAACTGAGGGGCTCAATTTCTTTCCACGCCTTAAAGAGACGACCTGTGTTTTGCTCCTTTTTCTATTTACAATATAAACCATAAAATAGAGTTGAAATAAATATACATTACATACATACAATTTATTTTTTGTCTCAATTCACTGTGGTGTGAACGATATTTAAAATAATAATGCTTCTTTAATGTCGGAATATTCAACATATAAAGTATGAAAAATCTACGATTTAAGAAAATCAGTTTTGTTAGGAGGACTTTCCAGCTAGACCGTTTTATAATTGTATTTAATGAATATTCTCGTTTATAAAGACTCGATGGCGCAGTTGATAAACGCCGGGTTCGACGACGAGGTTCGTGGGTTCCGTTCCTACACGGGACAAATATTTGTGTGATCCACAGATAATTGTTCTGTATCTGAGTGTTTGTTTTCAAGGAGGGTAGGCAGTAGTAAAAACAAAGTCAAGAACATCATGTTATCACATGTTGTATCGACTCCAACTACGTGAGAATGATGATGAAAGATATTCAAGATAAGATAAGTAATTGCTTAGTTTCAAAGATCTAAGCATACATAGGGACAGACAGACAGCGGGTCGACTTTATAAGCTATCTGCTTCCCGCTCCCGCTGATCGTGCCGCTGCCCGCTCCGCTTCCGCCTGTGACGTCCCCAGAGCACGATTTGCGCGGCTTCTCTCCAAGTTCTCCGTTCACGGAAGTTCCGTAAGGTCGCTACGGTCAAGGTTATGAGTTAGTGCACGCAATTTCGGATGTGTTTCGGTTCGCACCTGTTTCGGTGCAACGCGTTAGGCTAAAGGGAAAGTTGTCTCGTGGCTGTTTTGTTGAGACTCAAACTAGCTCATAACAATTAAACTTAGATTCACTATAAATCAGATATATGACTGGTGACAGCGCATTTGACTGAAGCCCGTTAGGTATTTCGTAGTTCCATTTATAGCCGTCATATATTCGTTTGAGTAACTAGATAAGTTTACTTGGAAGTCTTGCGTCAATTTGTCGATACTGTATAGTATCTAGGTCTCTTTATAATAGCACAATTACATTAGTTGTGCGGACCTATAAAAGTTGTGTTGTTCATGTTTAATTAAAATGTTGATGTCTTTGTGTTGCAATGAAGTTTTTATTGTGTTCAGGTTATTATTTCATCAGAAAAAATATTCACCACGCGTACTCAATGCATTGTAGTTTTATTTGTTAAGTTATTAACAAATAAAACTACAGCGTATACCTCCAAGTTAACATACCTGTTAAGGTAGATATCTGAAAAACTACGTTTACTATGGCGATACTACGATACACAAGGAATGCACAGGGAATTTTTGTAATTCAAACAGATATAACATAAGTGAAAACTTGTCTAACTGACTACAGATCAAGTTGAAAAAATTTGAATATCAAACCTTAAATCAATATTATATTTAGAGTTTTCGAAACAAACTTGGCCTGGCCAAGTTATCCTCTTTATAATACCGTTTGGATAATATTTATCCATTATGATTATAGATACAGCAGGCATCTCGCCAACTCCATCACTATGCATCATCTGGCTTCATCATCGGCGTACTTGTAGTGGAATCTGTATACTTAATCTTGGTAACCTAGAATTGTCAGCAATATATTTTGCGTCAAGTTATGCAATATCAGCGTTTAATACTAACGATCAACCAAAGGCACAGATTATAACTATATTTCAAGACGAGTTCCACTATTGATTTTTGTGTTCTTTTCTCAGTCCCTTTGCTCGTAAATGCGTATAACAATTTTTCAAAAATAAAATATTCAAAAATTATTTTTGAAAATTATGAAATCATATTAAATTAATAATCAAAATATACAATAAAAATAACACTCTCGAAATTGATTATATATCACTATATTGAACATTTTGTGTTGATTTGTAATTATTTGATATAATCAAAACGTTGTTTAGATGATAGCCTATTATTTGGATGCTAATCAAGGTGAGCACGGAAACCAATGATCCGATGATCTGCAATAATCTTACTCACTCCGCAATTTCCCTTGGAAACAGTCGTACGCCCGTTACTTGTACCACCCAAAGGTCACAGGCAAGTTCAAGTATGAAGGGCAAGGCGCGCCGTTTTGCAGTCATGTTTTCACTCGGGCGCCCTTTAGTCGAGCGCTGCGTTCGCCGAGTGTCGTAACGACCCGGTTTCACTGCACTGTGGTGACACTGCACTGCTACGAACTGCGTGGCGTAGCGCGTAGCAGGATTACAAGATCACGCGTTTTAATAGGTATTTAACGCCCGGTTTCTGAAACTCTGATCATTAAGAAGACCATTCTGATCAATTCAGAGTGTTTAACAAGCCTTTTGGCAATTCAAATGACATTTGAATAGCCATTTGACAGCTGATTAGTTGACTTCTACGATGACCAGTGTTTCAGAAACTGGGCGTAAGGATAACACAATGGGCCCTGTAGCTAAGCTGTTTTGTTCGATGTCGAAGGCTGTTCGTTCAACTTACGTATGATTTTTTTCATGAGAGAGAGTTCACCTATTGTTTAATGATAACCGCCACCCATGGACAATAGGCAAGACATGTATGGTTGCAGATGCTTTGCCATCCTTTAATAAAATACTCCACTGCCCAAACGAAACGCAGAAGGTCTTCTGTAAGACCGTGGTACTTCCCCGGATAGACCTGCCAATTCGTGCAACAGTGATGACTCTTGCTTGTCCCTACCACGGGAGAGGTTATCGGGGCTCACTGTTTTTGTGTTGGCATCACACCAGCAATCCATCAGGGTTTGTAAATGTCTAGGAATGGCAGTAGTCATATAACATTTGGCGAACCGCCTTCTCGCATGCCAACATTTCACATAAAATCTGAAGCAAGAGTTTTATTAAGTTAATCTTTGAAAGCTGTTATCGTTACTTCTCGCTAGGGTGTTAATTATAAAAATGGCAGTGTCATACCACGTTTGCGGAAATTTTAACTCACAGTTATACATACAGTTACGCAGCATTCAATATGCGATCACTTTCTTTTTCGATGCATTATTTGTCGTAAACCGTCTCACTTATCTGCTTTGCTCTTAATTCCAGCCAAAATGAAAGCGCCTTTTTGAAAATATTCGAAAGTCATTGGAAAAGTTAGAGGAAACGTTGAACGCTTTGATTTGAATATCGAATATATGTATAAATCCGATTTAATGACTTTAACAGAAGTATATTTTTTTATGTGAGAAGGTGGCAAACGAGCTGGTGGTTCACCTGATGTTAAGTGATAATGACCGCCCATGAACATTTGTAACACCCGTGGGGCTGCACATGCGATGCCACCTGTTGATAAACTGGGCTCCGGCTACCTCACTCACCAGACGAAACACGAAAGTATTTGTCTTACTTCCACTTTACGCTGGTCTTCTGTGAGGTTGTGGTACTTATCCGGACAGAACTACTTATTCGTGCAACATCCGAAGCTGTGATAACTTTATTTTCCTTTTTTTAACTGTTTCTTTTCAAATGAACGCATTTGTAACAAATTATTATATTAAATATGCAAATTAAAATGGAAATTAGTTTACAGAATGATAAATTGTATAATAAATGTAAGATTTGGCGTAGAAAAATTACTGTCTATATTAATAAACTACCTATATTAATGTTTTCGGAAAATTTCTAGATTCTAGAATAGAGTGGCGTGAAGTGGAAATGTTATAATTCTGCGTTTCGTCTACTGAGTGAGGTAGCCGGGGCCCACTTTATTAAAAGGTGGCAACGCATCTGCAACCATACGCGTGTTACAAATTTCCACGGGCGGCGGTAATCACTTAACATCACATATCACATATTCATCCTTTCACTATTTCACTATTCACCTCCTGACATAAAAGAAATAGTTCTAAGACCAAATATATTACTACATCATCACATGTATCAACGTCAATACGTATGCTAAGTTTTGTATATATTACTATAAATGTATAATACTCTGTGGGAGAAATGGGATAAAATTATGTTATCTTAAAATAATTCGTATAGTTCGAAAATGAATTTGATTTGATTGAAAACGAATATACAACCAAATCCATAATCCACACTTCTCAACTTTCTTTACTTTAAAAAATGGAGAAGTAAGTAGTTATCCCGAAACAGTATCTAATGCTAGTTCTAACAAAGGTATAGTCATAATCATGTCATACGAGTAACTTAGCACCCCATTTTTCTACCGCTTATGTGGTAAGGATCAATTTAAAGGATAGTGGATGCAGTCGACCTGGTAAATCATAGCATTTAAATAAGTAAATTTCAAAGTTTCGTTGATATTATGACGTTTCTGAATTGGTTTTAATCATATTTATTAAATCAGAACCTCCCAGTGGTAGTAAATGGCTTCGACTCCATATATTTCCGACTTCTGGTATTTCTCATAGATCTCACCACGGACCCTACTTGTGTATAAAGTTTTTCAATGATATACTTACCTCTTTCCTTAACTCCAGTACTTACCTATTTGCAGATGACCATGTAGCTATTCAAATCAGGAATGCATCAAATATAAACCTCTTTCAAATGATCTTAACATAAACAAGTGTTTACATATTACATCAAGCAGAAATTGAATTATTGTTACATCAACGTATAGCATGGACGGTAAATCTTTAGAGACTTGGGTATTTTGACCATTGAAATTAAATATGAATTAAATAAACATACATTCTATAATAACGAAGGCTTCGAAACTAATTGGATTCATTTCAAGAGTGCGAAACACTTTAAGGACCCGGCTGTTTAAATCATAATATGCGATTCCGTTCATATTTGTTTACTCATAAACTGCTCAATTATTATTGTATATATATATTCTAACTATAAAATGTAAATCCTTTCTTGGCTATAAGTTAAGAATATGTGATATACATGTAAACAACTAAAGGCTGTGGATTTTGTTGCTCAATACAATAAAATAAAAAAATATGCGCAATTTAGAATATTGTAGCGCTTTACTTGCTTGTTATAATTGGGTGACCGTTGTTTGGTCGAGTGCCTTAGCTTAAGAACTCTCGGAACTGTCGGAGAAACAGCTACGAGATCGCACTAAAACCGTGTATTTTTCCGTCAGCCGCGATCGGCCGCCCCGCCGTTGGAATACGCCGGCCGGTGAAATCAAACCGCTCTATGTAAGTGGGTTGGAGAAAGAATCTCTACGGGCGCCGCGGCGATGTACCGTGCGCAAAACAATTCCCCGAACGTCGTAACGTATCAATTTTACGAGCGCGCAAAGATAATCGAAACATATTTCAGTCGATTACGGTAATGTAACACTCGGTGATTATTTCAAGAGTTTTCTTTCTTGGAGAACAAAGAGGTGATGGCTATAGGCCTGTACTTGGACGGATCCGAGCTGTTGCCTTTCTTAGGGGGCTGTTCTTTCTACAAGTTATTCTAGTCAGATTGTTGTAGTTTGTTATAAATTTTTTGTTTGCATATCGTTACTGTCGTCAATCTGTGCTTCTTCATATGTCGTGATTTCTTTCTTATAATGCACAACTGAATAGTGTTTTATAAGTAGTTGGTTTAGTAGTTAGTTACGTAAGCTACTATAATTATGTATACTTTTTTTACTGTACTATATTAAATATGGTACAATAAACAAAGTTATCTATATCTGTCTAAGTTATCTAATCATAGACTATATATAAAATAAATTTTATTTTATATATAGTCTATATACAACATAATTGAGAGGATGCGTGAAGTATTGCCGATTATTGGCGAACCGTTTAGTTTGATTGATTGACAGGCTGATTGTATATGCAATCAGTGTAGCTCAGTTGAAGTCCGCAGTTGGAGGGGAACATAATCGACTTATTCCGCCACTGCCTAAGTATCTGCTATTAGCTAATAACTAATCTTATCCCATTTGATTAAGTTTTCAGGTGCCGCCTTATGAATTTTATTTCAGAGATTTTTTTCATATTCTTTGTACCTTTCCATTTTAAGAATTTTTCGAATGCTTTATTAAACCTAAGAGAAATTATTTTTCACCTTGACTTTTTTAATGCTGTGAGATTGAAATTTATCTTGTTTAACCTTAAGTAAATATACTTATTTATTAATCCTTCAGTCCTTGTTAAGTTTGCCATACCGCAGTAGAGCAACACGACGGGTCGAAATTTGTAGGCAGAGGAGAGCTGGAGCAATATTTTATTCAGTAATAAGTAAAACAGTTATTCATTTATTTATTATATTTTATTGATTAGGGGACCATACACGCTTACATTAAAGCGAAACGGCGTTGTCTTGCCGACTCTACCGCCGCCGCGGCGCGTGTGTGCGCGCCGGTTGACATTTCACGTGTGACGCGTCGGCACGTGTTCGCGTCAGTGTGTGTGTGTTTTCTCCGGCCCGCCCTGCGCGGGCCTTGCAATAAGGCAATTCGTCGTACGCGCGTGAATTATGACCGTTTTCACATCCGACTTTCGTCGACGCCACACTGGCTCGGCACTCGCTGTGTGAACTTCTTTCACTCGGCTCGCACGCGCCTTTGTTTGTCCCGATGTCTAACGCGACCGACATGCGCCGGCTATATTTAGAAACTGCCGCGGCTGGGGTGGGGGTGGGTCGTCAAATTCTCCATCTATACGAACATGCGTTCGATATGACTTTTCTATTTGTCAACCTCTTGTTGCAAAACCTCGTGCGGCAACCAGAAGGTGAGTTGAACGTCCTGTGCTTTAAATAGACATGAACGTAGAGATACGTATGTAGTCGACACAAAAATATCTCCGTTCGAAATTGACTGCATCTAAACAAGTAATTGAACTGGGAAAACGATATTTTACGTTATAATTATACTTCTGTACTTGTTTGTTTTACAATTATCTTTTTAAATGCATGTTATATTATTGCTGAACTTAGATACCTTCCTAATACAGTTACAAAAAAGCAGAAACTAATTATTATAATTTAATAAAAATGATGTGTAAATATTAGGTGTGTTTTCCTCACGTTTAAAGAAATGATTCTTCATCATTAATATAACGCTTCACCAAAAGATGTCGCTGTGCTCCAAACCAGTTATGGGTCACCCGCGAAAAGAAACAAAAAAGACATTAACAAAAAAAATCTCCTTTTATTTTTACATTAATTTACAAAAATTTACTTATATTTGAAAAAAAAAAACCTCTTGAAAAATATAACATTTTTGTCCTTATAATATAATTCGTTACTGCTACAGAAGTAATTGCGTGGCATGTGATACCATCGAATGATTTTTCATATATTCGGATTCCATTTATTTGCTACGTACTGAAACTGACCCGGAAAAATCAAACGAGAGCGCACCGCCGTCAAAACAGCGGTAGTGTTAAAGTAATTACAATATTACAATTATTAATAAATACTTAATCTCTAGAGGTCTTAAAACTAGCAAAAGGTACTTTCATTAAGATCCGCAAATGTTGTAGGAAACGCCGCGTGCGAAACACTCTCTTATAGAGCTCTAAAGGATATTAGTTGCTTAGTGAATTCGACAACTTGAGGATTTCCACTAGTTTCCGTGTAGCGGCGGTGTCTGAAAATATATATTGCTATTGTAGAACGTTTCACAAACGCGCGTTTATCCCACGGTGTGAATACTTCCCAAGTACCCTAAGACTCTAAAGTCACTTCATTTGCAGATTAGCGTTGCTAACGCTTCACATTTATTACCATATAATAGAAGGAGAAAATATAATGGAATGTCATGTAATACACCATGAGATTGAAGGCAGTCTCTACATTTCTGTATCATCAAAAGAAGAAGGTTAATTGTCGATAAAACTCTTATACATACATATATTTGATAAAAAATGATACATTGTAATTGCTCCATAGTAAATCCATTTTACATCTTTGTCATGTTTTTTTTACAGACAAAATAAGAATGAATGAGTTACTATATCTGACATAAAAGGTTTAGATTGTGTAATTAAAATAAATTTTATACATGTGATTATGTAAAACGATGTTATCATCGATGTTTAAATAATTTTCGTGAAAAGCTCACTTGTTTCAATTTATTTAATTCGTACATGAAAATGCTTATTTCATTGAATTGGAACGGTACGTATAACTTTTTTTGTAGTACACAATATCTTTTCACCATTCAATTCACAGTAATTTTACGCATTAAGGAATCTTTATTATGCCTTTCAACTTATTTCGATCAATGTTTCTAATTACTTTAGTTTATAAATAGTAAATCCATCTCCTTTTATTATAGCTGATATTTTACTGAAACGCACGCATTAGAAAACTTTAAGGCAGACGTCATAATATTATCTGTAGCATCCTTTCCGAATTAAGAACGGTTTCCAATCGCTGCTTTTAATATATGTTAGAGACGTCGTAAATCGGTGAACATTACAGGTTGCGTAACAGCGGATAGTTGTTATTAGAACATTGGATTCTTCAGGTTTTTTCGGCCGGTTTCCCGGACGGAGAGATCCGGCGCTCGCGTGCTGGCTCGCCGAAGGACTCTCCTTGCGTCGTGAACACTCTACGTAATCACAAGAACGATCCTTCTCTACCAACACGGGTTTTTTTTTTGCGAACGAATTAATTATAATTAACGCAGTATCAAGCAGCAGTGATTACGTGTCCAAAAAAGTACTGAAATTTTGTTTATCGACTCTACCATTTGCTTGTGCACCGAGAAAAATGTTATTTTTAATATGTAAAGTGACATTTTTCTGCTTTGATTAATTTAGGCTTTCTAGAAATTATTATTATAAACGTAAAGCGAATGACAGATAATTGATAAAATATTAGTTTCATTAGATTTTTGAACTTAGCCAAAAGGCCGTGAAGCAATATTTATTAGATTAGTGATTTGTGACATCATAATTTCATTATATTTCAAATTTTCTCGTACAATATGAAACATAAAGGGCATTTGAGCAGAGATAATTACGGAGAAATAAATAGTTATATTAAAACTATAAATATATGAGTAAAATTATGTGATATTAGATCATTAAATTATTTTGTATGTAGCCTCGTTCGCTTTGTCTTTCCTTTATATAAGTACATGTAACTTATTTATATCGAAGCAATACAAACTAAATTTTTAATAAATTTGACTATAAGAAGGTAATCGGAGTAAATATTCACATGATTATATTAATTGTAATAAATATAGAGAACAACTTGAGATAACTTATTGAGGCGCCGTCCGTAAAACAGCTTTTAAATGTCATCGCAATGAAAAGAATTTAACTAATTCTTGAATTAACTGAAACTCTAAGAAGTCTAACCTTATGAAGACCTAAACTAAGTGGAATGGATAGAAATACGAGAAACTTATCGAACAACCTTCCGTACGTACATCAACAAACGATAAAAGAACTGTTATCTACACAAAAATAAATCTGAAGATATCTTAAAACTAGTTAACATTGCACTTGCCTTAGGAGGAGTGTTATACTACAGGGATATGAAATAATACGCGCACTCGCCCTCACTTAAGCCGTAAGAATAACCGAAGTGTTTACCATTTACAAAACTATGTCTAGATTGAGATACCGCGCTGTATTCGATACGCGCGCGCACACGGGCACATGCACTCACGGCAATCACTCACACAACTACGATCTAGTGAAATGCTTCTTCTTGAGCCGGCTCCGGGCCGACCACTGCTGCGCTAGTCGCGTCCGATCCGTTTGTGGATCTGCTGGTGCTTGATCAAGTGCGCCTTCTGGCGGAAGGCTTTCGCGCAAACGTCGCACCTGAACGGCTTCTCGCCGGTGTGGGTGCGCAGGTGCACCTTTATGTTGGACTTGTTCAGGAAGCCCCTGTTGCAGATGCCGCAGCGGTGCACCGGCTTCTCCTTGCCGAGGAGGCCGCTCAGCTCCGCCGCCGCCGCCGAGGAGAATGCCAGCGAGCTGCCGTGGATGTTGCCCGCGCTGTTGGCCTGTTTCGCCTTCGCGCGGCTCCTCTTGCTTTTGTTGGTCGGCGTCACGGTAGTCGTGTGCGCGTGCGGGTAGCCCAGCAGCCTCTCCGGACTGCACAGCCCGTCGGACTTCAGACCGAGGGCGTAGTGCGGCGCGTATCTGCCGTTGAGCAGACCGCCGACGCCGTCCGTGGTGGACACGGCGTTGCCTGGCGGCGACGAGGTGGATATTACATCCATACCGTAGCTAGTGGAGCTCGCCTCTTGTTTGACGGGTGGTCCGTTTTGAAGCCGATTTTGGAGTAACGGCATGTAGCCGTGCGTTAATAAAGTTTGCAGCGTTGAGCCCGCCTGTCCGAGATTCTTCTGTAGGAATTCCTGGCTCTTTGTAAACTCCTGGCTCGGTTTGCAAGGGAAGTCGAGCCCGGAGTGGTGATTTGTTTGTGATGGGGGCGGAGAATTCGGGAGACCAAACTCGTCGAGATTTTGAGGGACGATCTTGTCACCATGTTGACTGCAAGCGCCTGCTATCCAAGCGTCGATGTCCATCCAACTGTCCCTTGAATCATTTCTTTCGGGGTCTTCCGGCTGTGAGGGTACTGTCGTGTCTGCAATAGCGGAACCAATAATAGCAGCGATGTCTTCTATGGAGCTAATGTCGTACATGTCCTGTTTGTGACCCTCGTCGAAGAGTTTCGCTGGTGGTGAACATGACTGAGCGCAACTGTCTGCAGCGCCCGGCCCCGTAGATTCGGGCGCGAACGGTTTCGTATCTGGCGCATCCAAGGCGTAAGGCTTGACATCTTCCAAATCGGGCGGCTCGGCTTCAGCGGCGCAAGTCGACGAGGAGACGACGTCGTGGTCGGCGCCGTAGCCGCTCTGGGTCGGGTAGTTGTTGTTCTCCTCGGGGAGGCGTTGCGCGATCGCGTGGTAGTGGTGGCCGGAGATGCCGTTGATGGAGAGGTGGCCGGTGTAGCCGGTGAAGGGCGGCAGGGGCTTGAGCTCGGCGAGGGGCGGTGGGGCGAGGAGCGAGTCGAGCAGCTCGTGGCAGGTGGGGGGCGGTGAGGCCGCGTCCAGCTTGGGGTCCAGCCAGCAGCCGCCGAGCAGGAGATCCTCGCCGCCCTGGCCGCCGCCGCCCACCGGGCCGCACTTCATGCCGCGCCTCACCGTGACCCCCGAGCCCAGAGACACCCCGCCACCGCCATACTTGGACGCCGCCACCCTGCCGCGCTATCTGCAAGCAAAACAGCCCCACGTTAAAACACGCTCAACTCTCAGATTCCAATTTGTTCTAACTTTGTTCCGTCTATTACGATAGAGTCATGCAAGTTCCCCTATTAAGGATGCGTAGGCATGTCCAGTGGGTAGCAATGCCACTTATTGTAGCGTCTACAATAAAGTGGCACAATAAGATTGGCTTCTACATCCCCACAGGTGTTGTAGTGTCGATTGGCATTTAATCACATTGACTAATAATCACATTAAATAATATTCAAATAAAAGCAGCATTTTAGACTATACTCGTGCGTCCTAAACAATAATACAGTTAAATACTTGTTACGAATTACATATGTCTATAAATGAAGAATAAAAGCGCATCTATAAACGTTCTAATGCAGTTGCAGATTGAGTGCGATTTGAAAATTCAAACACACTGTTTTATGAAAACTTTTGTGTTCAGTAATGATCTCGTAGTGTTAAGGTTGTGCTGAGGCTTGTGGACTGTCATTCCATCGGTAAAACGGTGTTTTGTAATTTAGATTTAGTGCGAAATCGAGATACCGGCGCTTAATAATCGTTTCCATTTTGCCGGAGCGCGCACCGCTCCGCTTCACTAGATATTGGTGCTGCCACGATAGCGGCCGTCCATACCCGTTTCCAACGATACATACACGAGGCCCCTTTTCATAGTTTCCTTGCAAAATCGCCTGAATATGATTTACGGTATGACTTGTAAAAAGTTTATAAATATTTAACACGCAATTTTTACAGTACACAAGTCTGTTGGTCTTAATAAATGTATAAAATAACAACTAATCTGAAGAGAGAGGGATTTTTCTTTCTTAAAAATTTGTATGTTTTTTCGTAACTTTATTTTCTCATCACACCAGTTTGTACAATCTATAGAATATACAATGCGGGTGACTGATGCCTTAACTAAACAAAGCCTATAGACCATCAGACCTCTAAATAGTATGTAATATATACAAACATTGCTTGTGATAATAATTCAACACCTCTTTACTATTATCATTTCTTTTAAGTTAATAGGGAACACGTTTTATTGATAACAAAAGTTAAGATGACAAACGTAGTCTTTAAGTCTAGTGTTCTGCCGTTGAACTATGTAGAGTTCACTAATCCGATTCAACCGCTGAATACAAGTACGGCGTCCATATTTATAGTTAGTGCCGTAGGAAACTAGCGATGGGCCGAAAGCGGATAGCATTATGTGCGATGCATCCAACGATCCACTTAATGTATGTACACGGATAATTAACGAAGCCGCTAGAGCCCGCTGACCGTGTTCTTTGTAACAATCCACCGCAAAATCATAACGAAATCAGGATGTGTAAAATGTTTCTATGTATCTAATTCGCTCGTGCAACTGTATATTCTTTATATATAAAACTCTTCTGTGCGTGTGTATGTCACTGAACTTCTCCTAAACGGCTGGAAAGATTTCAATGAAATTTAAATGTTTAATTATTTAAGGACACATTTTTACACAACATTCTCTAGTCCCAAAATAAGCAAAGCTTGTACTATGGGTACTAGAAAACTGATAAACATACTTTTCTTTTGTACATAAATACATATTATACATATATTAACACCCAGGCACTAGAAAAATACTATGTTCATCACACAATATTTATCCAGTTGTGGGGATCGAACCCACACCCTCTGGCTTTTGTGTGCACACATAATTCGGTCTACTATACCTTTTTATTTTAAGGTGTTGTCGGATTTAAGTCATGTGTTTGTGTACAAAACAATGTTTGTCGGGTCTGCTAGTATAAATATTAAAAAAAAATAGTTTCATATTGCTAATAGTCTATAGCATTAACAGTACTAGATGAAAATAATGTTCCGTGTTCAAAATAAGATTCAGCCGGATTAAAGGATCAGCTTTTAACACTGTAACGAACTGTTTTCCCCGGAAATGAAATGCTATGATATTAAAAAATTACATGATTTTTACACTGACAAAACATTTGATTGCCTTATTATTATTATTTTTTCTTTTTTTTTATGTGAAAAGTTGCCAAACGAGCTGACGGTTCACCTGATGGTAAGTGAATACCGCCGCCAATGAACATCTACTATACCCCAGGGTTTGCGGATGCGTTGACAACCTTTTTGGAAATTGGGCTCCGGCTACCTCACTCACCAGACTAAAAGCGAAAGTATTTCTCATACTTACATTAACATACTTTATACACATATGGCACGACGACTATAGTGCTATAGAGGCAATATCTATATTACGGCATCCATCATAACCATCTGAGATAAGCTGTTGAGCTGGCTATTGTTTGATATTTAGTATCACAGTTGACGCCTTTATCCATAGTTTCCTGAACAAAAGCTTTAGAAGAATTTAAATAGCTCAGTTGTCACTTCCGCTAAGATGTGTTTTTCGACTCCATAGATGTTTTGCCTATGCTGGGTTTGTGTTTGTTGTTACACGTGTTTGGCTTTTTTCCTTCAGATATGTGTTTGTATAACGCCTCTACAATATATAAGGTTAAACCACTTAGCCGCGATAGCTCAGAGTCCGGGCGCTCGCCTTTAATTCAATATACTCGAGCAACCTGAGTTCGATCCCCGGTGCCGGCACCAATGAAGTTGCTAGTGAAGGAAAACATCGTGAAAAAATCTACATATTTACGATATAATAAAAAAAAAACTGATCTAGCATCACGCCAGTTTGGGGAAATTCGATATGGTACTCCTTTCTTAATAAACTCCCAATGAGTATGCATTCGTACTCTAGATTTCTTTCAAAGCACTTGCATCCGACAGAAGCCATTAGCGTTTTGACACGGCGCGGGCTGACGTAACACTATGGATTGCGTACGAAAAGGCAACGCGTTCCGCCCACGAATCGGAGTGGACGCGTGCTACAGATTTCTGTAAGAGCGCCCAAATTAATATTTGTAAATTTCCAATCCGCCGAACGCTCGGAAAAAGCGGTCTGCGGCGTGACAACACGCACGCTGTTGGCTAACAGGCGGTTGGCACGCAACGTGTTGCGATAGCGCTGCGGTGGAAAAAATATCGGTCTCTATTCAGGCTCGGATTCGTCTCGGCTACCAAGTGCGCGGCCTTGGTTGGGCTTTTCGCGAAACGCCCGACGGGGTGCGATTGCGCCGGGGTCGTCGGCCCGCGACCGGTATCGCAACGGCGCGCGGAAAAAATTACGAGACACCTTATTGCGAACGAACGTGACTTTGAATGGCGCTTTCGAAAGAAACAGCGTTAACTATAAGGGCGTTGATTGAGTTTTACGGCTGATTAAAATGGTTAGCGGGAAGTCTTCACGTTTTAATCTAAATTTGGTCGACGATGACTCCGTGGCGCAGCTGCCAAAGTATCGCCTTCAGCTTCGGTAGTCGTGGGTTCGATTCCCCCACGAGACAACCATTTTTTTGACCCACAGATAATTGTTCCGTATCCGGGTGTTTGTTCTCGTTTTATGTAATTGTAATGTTTTATGTAAATCTTTCATGTAATGTATCTATGGAAAGAGCCCTTACAATACCGTTTTCGAAGAGAATACTACAATAGGGACTTATTGCCTAACGTCTTCCACACAAAATATTAATACAAATACTAAGGTCGTACGTGCTCTATCTGATAGCTTGTGTTGATCACAATATACCGATCTTCGTCTCAAACGTGATGGGACTGTGTTGTACTCGTACCGTACTAACCGTCGCTGGTCACTAATGATTCTTTAATTTTGCGTGTTAGAAATCCGCGAACCGGAAAACTGATGTTTTAACTAAAGATGACCCCATGTCTCAATTGCTAAGATGTTGGCTGTTTCACCGGTGGTTGTGGTTTCACACTGTGTGTGTTCGACACTGGACAACCATTTGTGAACCAAAGATAATTGTTTCGGATCTAGTTGTTTGACTCACACAGGCCAATCCGCAGTGTGGCAGCGTCGTGGACCCTCTGTAGAGGAGGCCTTTGCCCAGCAGCGGGACATTTATAGGCTGTTACTTTACTTCTTTCACTTTAGGCTAATGTTATCCTACAGTAAGGGCAATTTTTTTAACAAAAAAAAGTCATCGCAAGTCATCATCCCAAACTGCTAGCCACCACTAACCCAGTAATTACCGCCAATATATTTGCAACCAAAGTGTAAAACGAAAAATGAATTCGGCTCAGTTACTGCGTGGTGATTGATTTCCAGTCGAATGCGCGTCGATTGCGAAAAGCTAAGTATTAAACTGTTCGACTGAAACAATCTCTTTGTACCTTTGTTGACTTGTAAAAATAATAATAACATTACTTGAAAATTATTTATTCGCGCGTATGTATGTCGTACCATTCTCGACATGAAAATCAAAATGAATATGACATTAATGCATCAGAAATAAAAACTGGTCAAGTGCGAGTCGGACTCGCGCACCATTGTCTATGAAGGCAAAAAACCATGTCTGTTGTATGGGATCCCTCACTTAAATATTTTTTATTCTGTTTTTTAGTATTTTTTGTTATAGCAGCAACAGAAATACATCATCTGTGAAAATTTGAACTGTCTAACTGTCACGGTTCATGAGATTCACGGTGACAGACGGACAGACAGACAGCGAAGTCTTAGTAATAGGGTCCACTTTTACCCTTTGGGTACGGAACCCTAAAAAACAATATAAGATAAATTCAAAAAGTTCGTAACTGCTTACCCGAATAAACCTCAATTATAAATCGCTGAAACCAATTCAATAATTGGCTACGATTGCGATATTAAACTTTTAAAACTATTTTTCCTTCTTTTGATTTCGAAATGACTATTGCTCAATATTCTGAAATTCGACGAAATATTGAAGACTTCAAACTCCATTTTTGTTTGTATTCTTATGAGTTTTTGCTAGAATAGACCTCTATGCTTGGGAAAGTTGTAACTGAGTACTGTTTTA